CATCCTGCATTACATCCAACCCATTCATGTTAGTTAATCTTTTCTTATTATAAAATTGTAGTAAGCCACTTACATCCTATATATCATCCAACCAACTTATGTTAGACAAGCTATTCTCTGAGTTATAGCTATGAAACCTACAAGCTACATAACCCAGTTATATTAGTAGAAGTTTTGGTATTCATAGTATCTTAATTAAAGATACTTACAAGCTATATCGCATCCAACCCACTTACATTAGCCAAACCCTGCTCTTATGTCGTAATATAGGAAGAGCCACTTACATTCTATATCCCAACCCATGTATATTAGCCAGGTCCTGTTCCACTGTAGTATTATAGTTAGAGCTACTTACCCACTATATCCCATCCAACCCTTGTATATTAGCCAGGTTCTGTTCTCCTGTAGTATTATAGTTAGAGCCACTTACAGTCTATATCCCAACCCATGTATATTAGCCAGGCCCTGCTCTCCTGTAGTATTATAGTTAGAGCCACTTACATACTATATCCCAACCCATGTATATTAGCCAGGCCCTGCTCTCCTGTAGTATTATAGTTAGAGCCACTTACAGGCTATCCCATCCGACCCATGTATATTAGCCAGGCCCTGCTCTCCTGTAGTATTATAGTTAGAGCCACTTACAGTCTATATCCCAACCCATGTATATTAGCCAGGCCCTGCTCTCCTGTAGTATTATAGTTAGAGCCACTTACAGTCTATATCCCAACCCATGTATATTAGCCAGGTTCTGTTCTCCTGTAGTATTATAGTTAGAGCCACTTACAGTCTATATCCCAATGTATATTAGCCAGGCCCTGCTCTCCTGTAGTATTATAGTTAGAGCCACTTACAGGCTATATCCCAACCATATATATTAGCCAGGCCCTGCTCTCCTGTAGTATTATGTTAGAGCCACTTACATGCTATATCCCAACCCATGTATATTAGCCAGGCCCTGCTCTCCTGTAGTATTATAGTTAGAGCGACTTACGAACTATATCCCATCCAACCCATGTATATTAGCCAGGCCCTGCTCTCCTGTAGTATTATAGTTAGAGCCACTTGCCCACTATATCCCATCCGACCCATGTATATTAGCCAGACTCTGCTCTCCTGTAGTATTATAGTTAGAGCCACCTACAGCCTATCTCCAATCCAAACCATGTATATTAGCCAGGCCCTGTTCTCCTGTAGTATTATAGTTAGAGCCACGTACAAACTATATCCCATCCGACCCATATATATTAGCCAGGCTCTGCTCTCCTATAGTATTATAGAGCCACCTACAACCTATATCCAATCCAAACCGTGTATATTAACCAGGCCCTGCTCTGCTGTAATATTATAGTTAAAGCCACTTACATGCTATATCCAATCCAACCCATGTATATTAGCCAAGCTTTTTTTTATTACAATATTATAGTAAGAGCCACTTACAGTCTATATCCCAACCCATGTATATTAGCCAGGCCCTGCTCTCCTGTAGTATTATAATTAGGACCACTTACAGGCTATATCCCAACCATGTACATTAGCCAGTCCCTGTTTTACTATAGTATTATAGTGAGAGCTACTTACTCCCTATATCACATCCAACCCGTGTCTATTAGCCAGACCCTACTCTCTTATAGTATTATAGTTAGAGCCACTCACTCCCTATATCACATCCAACCCGTGTCTATTAGCCAGGCCCTGTTCTCCTGTAGTATTATACTTAGAACCACTTACAGGCTATATCCCAACCCATGTATATTAGCCAGTCCCTGTTTTACTGTAGTATCATAGTTAGAGCCACTTACTCCCTATATTATATCCAACCCGTGTCTATTAGCCAGACCCTACTCTCTTATAGTATTATAGTTAGAGCCACTCACTCCCTATATCCCGTCCAATCCATATATATTAGCCAAGGTTTTTTTTATCACAGTATTATAGTAAGAACCACTTACAGGCTATATCCCAACCATGTACATTAGCCAGTCCCTGTTTTACTATAGTATAATAGTGAGAGCTACTTACTCCCTATACCAACCCGTGTTTATTAGCCAGACCCTACTCTCTTATAGTATTATAGTTAGAGCCACCTACATCCTATCTCCAATCCAAACCATGTATATTAGCCAGGCCCTGTTCTCCTGTAGTATTATAGTTGGAGCCACTTACAGCCTATATCCCATCCAACCCGTGTCTATTAGCCAGGCTCTGTGCTTTCCTATAGTATTATAATTAGAGCCACTTACCCACTATATCCCATCCAACCCATGTATATTAGCCAGGCCCTGCTCTCCTGTAATATTATGGTTAAATTACCTACAACCTATATCCCAACCCACGTATATTAGCCAAGCCCTGCTTTTATGTTGTAATATAGTAAGAGCCACTTACATACTATATCCCAACCCATGTATATTAGCCAAGCCCTGCTTTTATGTTGTAATATAGTAAGAGCCACTTACATACTATATCCCAACCCATGTATATTAGCCAAGCCCTGCTCTGCTGTAGTATTATAGTAAGAGCCACTTACTTGCTATATCCCATCAAATCCACTTGTATTAGCTAAGCTTTTCTTATTATAATATTGTAGTATAGTCACTTACTTCCTATATCCCAACCCATGTATATTAGCCAAGCCCTGCTTTTATATTATAATATAGTAAGAGCCACTTACATACTATATCCCAACCCATGTATATTAGCCAAGCCCTGCTTTTATGTTGTAATATAGTAAGAGCCACTTACATACTATATCCCAACCCATGTATATTAGCCAAGCCCTGCTCTGCTGTAGTATTATAGTAAGAGCCACTTACTTCCTATATCCCATCAAATCCACTTGTATTAGCTAAGCTTTTCTTATTATAATATTGTAGTATAGTCACTTACTTCCTATATTTCAAGTCTTTAGTGTCAGTAAGGCCTTAACTCCAGTATTAATTCGTTACTGCAGCGCACAGCCTGCATCGCGCGAGAGCATTATTTATTAGCAAATATTCTATTTATGATAGTAATTTGGAGGACAAGGAGGGCAAACTTGAGGTACAAAATCTTGCCCCTGATCACCGGCAGACAGAGCACCGGTGATTATGAGATAGTACAAGTACTGGGCTCTCATTCTGCCCAATGTAGTTGGCGTGTCTTAGCAAATTCTTTAGTTTGTTAAATTGATACTGTTTTAATTGATGTATAAAAATTCTGACCGTCAATAGGTAAGAAGATTTAACTTGAGAACAGAAGAGAATAAGAGCATTATATTCGAAGCGGGGTAAGCTGACCTTGAATAACGAATGATGTAATTAATTCGTCAATCAACCTCTGCACACGGATCAAAGTTGGCTAAGCTGTAGCCTATGCTATTTCCGGTCAAGCACTGTTTTAATGATGTCAATGCTTTCAATAGTTTATTTTATAGAGATAGCCGGATGCTGAATGAGAGGGAAATGGTAGGACTCCGAAGGATTAGGTCAAGGAGACACTCTTAGACAGTTCGAAAGTTGTGGGCCCTGAGCCCACGAGTTCCTGGTAGGAGAGAAGACAACATTCCCCTTACGCAACTGCGCTCCGTGGTCTGCAAGAAGGTTGTTGACGGTCTATTACCTCTTTGAACGAGGACTTAAGAGTTATCCAGGCAACTGTCACGTGCCAATCCCCCGAGTTCCTCCACTACACTAGATAGTACTACGCTCATTATTTTATATTATAGAATTCATGAGAAGTGATAAGCAGGGAGCTATTCTATCAGCTACAGGCCAACGGCCATACTAGGATTTAGATATCATTCGGTGGAAACACCAGGAATCGCAGTATCTCAACCAACTGAGTCTCTTGCATTCCTATGTGGGTGCTCAACTAACTAAAGGATTCAGGGGTTGAATCGATCGTCAGATACTCCTCACCGTCAAGTCGGGTTCTACGGGTTCAGCCCTTGACATCAACAATCAGTTAACTACAATAACTCTACTCTACGGCAGAGTCCTCAGGTCAAACAGAATAGATTGATACCCAGGTCTTTTAGAGAATCGTAAGTCAGGATGTTAATAATAAGGTATTAGTCTTATTAATTGTTGTACGAAACCTTCCATACTCTCTTGTTAAATAGCCTGAGTTCCATACTTTTGCCGAGTGCTTTGTTGTGAAAACTTTGACACGGTCCACGGTGCACAGGGGAAATGGGGAATAGGGCAGGAGAAGCTATACCAGCTACACTCACGTAGCCTACTAAGGAGCGTATATATTCGACTAGATATATATTCAACGTCTCGTCTAGATGCTACACTCTGTTTTTCTTCAATTGGGATAGGGGATTCAGGGGTTGACAACATTATGCGTGGCCAGGGCGCTAGGAAGGAATCTGACCGAATACCACTTCTTCATGCTTAATCCAAAATTAAAAAGCTATATTGTTGCGGCACATAACTCTATCCCTAGAAGAATAGAGTGATAAAGTAATGATCTGCCTAGCGTGCGGGGTTCGCACCCTCGAATACTTCAACCCTCTCTTCTGTATTCTAGAGGAGCGCCAGTCACCATCCAAGGAAGCATGGTAGCTATCGTGCTCTAGGACATCAATGATATATCGCTCCCTATATTAGGCAACTGGTTGCGTGCAGCTGTTCGACGAGCTTACAACCTTCTTCCCCCCTGAGTCACATCAATTGTCATAGCCCCTGTACTGACTGCCTGGCTTCAGTCCGGTTGCGTTGTCGTGTTCTTCGTTGGCGGAGCGGTCCTCCAGGAGGGGCTATTAGCTCAGCGGGGTAAAACTCTTGCCGGGTGACTGCGACGTAATCATCGTGTTGTGCAGATTCAAGATCTCGGCGGCGAAAGCAAGGTCGAGAACTGTTATGAATATAGGATCAGCCCGAAGGATTACCCGAAGGATCGGCGAAGTCCTCGCTTATATATGTCTTCCCACAGACAAATTCCTGTATACTAACTAAGTTCGCTCATCCAATTCAATGGCTTAGTTCTCTCTATTCAATGCCAATTCCTCTGACCTACAGTAGATTCACAACAAGAAATTCCGAAACCTGCGACACTGGCCCCGATTCATTGGTAATGCGGTACCAGGATTGAAACATGGACAATAGTTTGGATTTAGAGCCTCCGAGACCCTGTAGGATGGCGCGCATACTCTCCACGCCCTGATTATATGGGAAAACATGCATCGGAGACACGATCGGCTGAACAATTGATCTGTATACTTCTAGACCAGTATTTTGCGGCTGTAAGACACCCATGACATTGTTATTCGCATCGAATGGCTTAAATCCAACTTTGCCCGTGTTCTTCAACGCCTATAGCACTGATTCTAGCACCTCGTTCACAAGGTCGATGTACGGAACCAGCACCTTTGTGTTGGCGCAAGAAAGCTGAAGGTATTTTAGGTCTTCTCGACGCTTAAACAGTTTGTCCAGCATCGTCGGGCTAGCCTTTTTATTAAGCTTATACAGTAGATCGACAAAGAAAGCTGCCGGGCCTGTGATTAAAGAACACTCCTCACAACCCATTCTGTCGATGCCAAACATCGTACCGAGGTTTATACCCTTGCTCTGCTCACGTCCGGAATCTACGGCTGCGACACGGGCATCCATCGTGGTGCCGGTTCCGTGTACCGCAAGCGCTTTTGTCCAGGAATGCTCATTGCGAGAAGAGACTGAGAGGGTATAATCATAGATTCAGGTTGCCCTATCTTGTGGTATGTCCTGGTCTATGATGGAACGCACAGCTCATTCGCCATTTTCAGAATCTTGTCGGCAGAGTGATAGCCACATTTTACCAGCACCTATGTCCTCAGGCTCATTCACTAACGCTTGGAGCCTCTGTAAATCGAACAGATATCTCTTAACTAACTCCCTGTGTGTAGGCACGTTGGCCGCCACCAGAATATTCTTAGATAGTCCGATGTCAGCATCTTCATCGGCCCCACCGATGACCAGCAGTGTTCGAAAAGACTTCAGTGAAATATCAAAGTGGGATTCCTCGACTGCCAGTCATAGGACAGAGAAGACTAGGTGTTTGTATCCCGCGGGAGTCGGAACAGCGTCTGAGAATATCAATCCACGGAGCACGGAAGTCGCTTGCTTAGAGAAGAGCTTCTGGCGCAGCAGGAACCCAGAGCCTCTCTGTCCACCGGGATGTCTTTGATGGATGCAAGTATGTTGGCAATAAGCTCAGCAACTTTCTGCTGTGACGTGACTGTCCCGGAAGACACGCCAGCTAGCTGTGGATGTGAGAGGCAAAAGCCAACAATAGGAACCGAGCAGCCACTGAGTGAATACAGGTTTTCAACTAAGCTCAGCTTGATCTTATCATCAGTGGAGATGGCTGGGTCTGAGCGAACTATGTCGGCGACCGCTTGCAGAGAGTGGTTGCTCGTTAAAAGTATCCTTAGGGTACCACAGGTTATTTGAATGCCCGAAGAGACGAGGAAAATCTTCCGTTAACAGCAGTCTGAGGTCTGGTTCGGAAAGGATGCTTGCAGTATCCTAAAAAGAGTCAAACTACTTTCTTATGGGTTTTGCTAGTAGCAGCGTAGATTTCGTAGGTAGACCCCCAAGACTGGCCCTCCCACCCGGTGGAACTAGCCGGCTCTTTATGGAGGTTGAGAGTTGAACTGACCATAATCCTACACGCTGTAGCGAATACTGATCGAATAGATAGGTTAAGAGATCAATGTCTTGAATGGTTGTTCAACCTGGCGTGGTAGCTGGCAATGTACGTTTAATAGCGGCCATAATGTAGATGAGGAGAGTCCTCGTCCTCGTCATCACCAAGTCAAGATCTTGCCCCCTGGGTTATCTGTACTGGAATTCAACCTCCAGGGAAAGGAATAGGCGTTGTCTGTTGCCAGGAGTAACGGTTGACGTCAATAGAACAGATTAAACTCCATCGATAGGCGAGAAATAGTGCCTTGACAGACTTTCCGAACAGATAGTTAGCTAATTGACCCATATCTTCAGAAATTTCGTAACCAGACGTGCAGGTGGGTTCTCAAGATCGAATTCCCATCCACCAGCTTTCAACACGGTTGCACGGCGTCGATGATGCATCTTGACATCGATCGCCTTGGCCATGTATTTGTAACGGGAAACTCTGTATGTAACGGACGCACTTGTCCTTGTCTGACTTCCTTACGCATGGCTGGTACGGAGCCAGTTGCAAAGCCGAAAGTGGCAACAGCCTTTCTGCAGCAACCATACCGTATTGGACCTAGGGATGTGCCTTATGATGTCTGGTGTAACCAATTGGGCGCGAATTATTTCACGTCCCAATGCTGTTTGGATATGAGCACACAGTTGTGCAAAAGTCTATTAAGGAATATTTTCGAGGAATCAAGCCGAAGTCTCGGTCGAAGCAAGATTACGCCCAGTTATTCGTATACTACTAATGACTACCATTTCACCATGAACCCTAACCAAGGTCGTTAAACGGCCTTGCACCGTTGTTGCTCGACGCGCTACCTTTGGCAGCGGCCAGTTGTCTGTACCGCGCATCACCAAGGATAAGATTCTATATTTCCAGGAATATGACGCTAATTTCTCCTACTCTACTATTACTACCACCGTGGTCTTCACTTTGCCTTTCGTATAGCCATCGGCTAGCCTACTCCTTTACAGTTTTTGATTTGAACTTTTCTCCCTAAATTGACTTTTCCGCATGCTTCAACAGCTATCACCTAAGCTTTACGGAGATGGGGCTAGCCGAAGTGGTTTGGGTGGAGGCGACCTACTCCATGTTCCTCAACGTCTGGAACAAGAGATAAGACTTCTCACTGGGACAAATATTATAGAAAGTTACGTAGTGGGTCACCCCGATAACTACAGAGCCAATGGTCTCCGGTAACACACACGTACCGCAGTTCATTTCTCCGGTTAACAGGGACTGCATGCTCGGATCAGCTGGGGTCCGCTTGCGGAATGAAAGAGACGGCGTCTCTTGCCGGTAAGTCCATGTGTACGAACCCGGCCCGGGCGATAAAGTTGCTGTAGAATAGAAAATGTGTACAGCCATGCTGCTATTAAAGGGCTAGGAGTGGTTAGAGCGCAGGATCCCCTCTCAGATGAATACATAAACAAATTATATGCACTTGTCATGTTATAGAGTGGTACGCAATATTGGAGGGGACCGGTGAACTAACCACGATGAGGAACAGCAGAGACAGGGATTTTACGGTTGTGGCTGGCAGAGAGAAGAGGCACCACGTCAGAGGCTGTAATGCCTCTGCAATGTGATGTCAACCCGAGTAGCTGTAGCTGGGATGCGTAAAGTTAAAGACCCCAGGCCATGAGGACGTCATATGCCCTAATCCATACCCAGATGCTTATGGGAGCTTGCTGTGCACTGCTAAATGTCCGGCTGCCTGGGCTTTATACACCGAAGAATAAAGCACCTACGAAAGGCTCGTGTTCATTAGCATCTTTCCAATACCAACTGATTGCGAATATTGTGTTCCAGTTGCTCTACTTCTGTCCCTGTCAACTTATTTCCTGATGGGATCCACACCGCGTTCGCGATTTGGGGTTGAGCAGCCTCCTACCAATAACGACAACCGCGCCGGTGGAGGGGATGAAAGTCGAGGCGCCCCAGGCAGACTATTAGCGGATGGAGATGCCCAGCGCCCGATGCAAGAGAAATTCAATGTCAACGCGCAGACCGGGGGGGGTTCGTTCGCCATTCCGATCAAAACGACACCAGGTAGAAGCGGTTTCGGACCATCCCTGAGCCTTGTTTATGACTCCGGGTCTGCGAGTGCCAATGGCATTTTTGGTCTCGGTTGGCATTTGCAGGGCTTGGACTATGTGTCTCGGAAGACCTCACAAGCCCTTCCGCTCTATGATGAGGGCGATATATTTTTCCATTCACGTGTCGGGGAACTGGTGCCGGTGCTACGGAATGATGGTGTCGGCCTTGACGAAGACGATCGCGCCGGTTATTGTGTCCGAAAGTATCGACCGCGTGTGGAGTCGGACCCGATGAGAATCGAATGTTGGGTCCGCAAAGAGAACCCCAGTGACATATTCTGGAAGACTGTAGCATCCAACAATACCACGGCTATATACGGTAGAAATGAAGGCTCCCGGATATTCCATCGAGAGCGCAGAATGTCTCCATCCCAGGACAAGATATTTACATGGCTAGTCTCTGATATATATGACAGCTATGGCAACTACATGGCCCATTCGTACAAGGGTGAAGACGGGCTTGGGGTGTCCGACCGTGACAAATGTACCACTCAACGTTATCCCAAATCAATCAAATATGGGAACCGGACGCCAAACCGGAATCTGGAAAAGTGGGAGGAGGTCGAGCTGTGGGACCAGGACGCCGCGATGGCATCCTGGATGTTTGAAGTTGTTCTTGACTACGGAGAGCACGAGGAAGCACTACCAACCACACAGCAACCTCAAGATTGGACTCTTCGAGACGATCCATTTTCGGTGTGCACCAGTGGATTCGAGGTCCGCACATATCGTCTATGTAGTCGGGTGCTCATGTTCCACCACATTCCAGAGGAACTGGAAGTCGAGGATTGTTTGGTTGCCTCTATAAATTTTCAGTATGAAACTGAGCCCAAATCAGGGACAACTTTCCTCAAGACTTGCACAGCCTCAGGCCATACACTAGATACACGCGAACAATGCTATTCGACGTTGTCTTTGCCATCTATGCAGTTTGATTACAACAAACCCCCTGATCTAGGATCGCTGCATATTGAAAATATTGAGCTTAACTTATCTGGATTTTCTTCTGGCAGAGCTAGTTGGGTTGACTTGGACGGTGACGGCGTACCAGGTATTCTGGGGACCTTGCCAGGAGGATGTTACTATCACCCCAACTTGAGTCAAGAGACAAAAACCGAGATCGGCGGACCGACCCTTCAAAACAGCATCCCAAGCGCTATGCAGTCTGAGATGTGGCATTTTGAAGATGTCAAAGCTCGTGGATTTCTGGACCTGGTATCGGCATCGCCCGATGGGAGGGTCCGAGGGTTCTATGGGCGTAGGGAGGAGGGCGAATGGGAGCCGTTCGTCCCCTTCAAGTCCTATCCAATACTTGACCATTTGCAGAATGGGTGGGATATTTATCAAGTTGATCTTACCGGTGATGGCTTGGCAGATATCCTGCAGAAGCCTCCAAACAACAATAGCGAATGGCTCTGGAACCGTTCCCTGGGACCGAACGGGTACGGGGAGGAACGTTATACAGTCGGAGCACCTAAGATACCCTCCGACCCGGCGACGGCAATCTTTCTGCGCGACATGTCAGGGGACGGTCTGACAGATATTGTAAGTGTCCACAATGGCAACATCACCTACTGGCCAAACATGGGCCATGGGAGATTTGGCCGGCAGGTGGACATGTTAGAGCCACCCACCCTGCTGGACCTGGTGAATTTTTCTCCCCTTCGCGTTCGAATGGCGGATATAACGGGCTGGGGAGGTACTGACTTCGTATACTTACTACCCGAGGGCGGCGCCATTGTATATTATAACCAATGGGGCACCAGGTGGAGTCGCAAATACTACCTACCCTTTATCCCTCCACTGGACCGTTTTGCAGCGGCAGACATATTTTCCGTCAACGGAAAGGGCACACAATGTCTATGTTGGACATCGGATGTTAGTGGTAGCCAGACAACGACCACGCTGCGAATTATCGACCTGATGGGTGGAGATAAGCCGGGTTTATTAACCAACACCTGCAACGGCATGGGGGGGAGGTCAACTATACAATATCGCTCCGCGACTAGTTATTACCTGGAGGCCAAAAGGCGTGGCCGGCCTTGGACAACGCGGCTGCCCTTCGCCGTTGAATGCGTCGAGAGCGTAACATTTAATGATGATGTTGCCCAGACTTCTTATAACACACAGTATATATATCACAATGGATATTACGATTATAAGGAGCGCCAATTCCGGGGTTTCCAAATGGTTGAGGAAAAGACCGGAGAGGATTTTGCTGTAGGCATTACTGGTGCTCAATTTAAACAGCCCCAAGTAATCAAGCGCAATTGGTTCTACCTAGGCCTGGAACAATTGGATCAGGCAACTCTTCTGCCAAACAGCTTCCAGATCCCAGGGCCTCAGTATAAGCCGGTGTCCAGTGCTACGATATCCCAGGACCTTTCTGTAACGGAGAAACAGGAAGCATGCGCCGCATTGGCTGGCAAACCCCGCCGGCAGGAAATATACGGCAGTGGCGTACGGAGCAAGGGACACCTGCCATATACTATATCTGAACAATCGTACATAGTTGTGATTCATCAAAGGGTGCAGGAGGACAAGCGTGGTATCTTCCGAGTTAACATCCGGGAAGAACTACAGACGCTGTATGAGAAGGGCGAAGGACAACCAAGGCTGAAGCACACCCTTCCACTAAAGACAGATGATTTTGGTAACATTGAGAGGCTGGCAATTATCAGCTATGGAAACAACAAAAGCGCCCTGGCAACAGTTGAAGACCGCAAAAAACAAGAAGAAACAGCAATAACATATACCGAGATGTTATACACCAACCCAATACTGGAGCCGAAGGACTGTCTTCGCACCCCACTGGTGGCCAAAGTTATCCAGTATCAGGTATATCAAGGCTCATCCTTGACTAGTGCAATGGCCGACGGACGACATAGCTGGGAGAAGCTGGCTGCCAACGACTGCAAATTGCTCACTGATGCCATCAAGTTTCCGGTCCCCACAGAAACCTGCGACTGGAGGGAAAATATTCCTGCAGAAGGATATGCAGCTCTCCACTCAAAGAACATCACACTATACCGCCGGGAAGATCTCACTGCACCCTTGCCTCTGGGCAAAATAGAACCATACTCTATCACACACCAAGTCTATCAGCTTTGTTTCACGACGCAGCTAATGGGGACAATACCCATCTCGAAGCTATGTCCCTTCGAGAATGTTCTGGAGAGCACGGGTTACGTCCAGTTGCCAGTCAGTAGTGGTGGACAGATAGACGAATGGTGGTCGCCATCCCTATGTCACCGATTTGAGGCTGCTACACTTGATCAGGCCAACAATGAACTACTTGCTGCCCGGTCCCAGTTCTTTATTCCACACATTCAGATTGACCAATTCGGAAACATAATGAAGAAGCAATTGGACCCTTACAAATTACTCTTTGTGGAGACTTTGGATCCCATGGAGAACACAACCAGAGTAGTATATGACTATGCCTGCTTACAATCAAATCTAATTATTGATGAGAACGGTAACAAGACTCAATTCGCGCGAGACCCGTTTGGAGTCAGTGTGGGGGTTGCTGCTATGGGGAAGGAAAAAGAGCCGGTTGGGGATAGTTTGGAGGAATTTATCATTAACATTTCGCCGTCAGAAAGAGATCAATTCGTTAAAAATCCATCCGGACCCATAGCTGCCAAGCTGCTGGGCAAAGCTGGAAGACGGATGATCTATGACTTCAATTTCTGTGAAAGAAGCCAGACACCGGGTTTCCAGGCGGAGTTAGTCCGTGACACCCACTACAGGGACGCATATGGAACTACCCAGATCTCTGTCCATATTAGCTACTTGGACGGTCGGGGCAGGGCAATCCAGAGCGCTACATTTTGCGGAGACGAGTCAGGCAGAGAATGGCAGTTCAGTGGTTTGGAGATCCAGAGCCAGAACGGCCAGCCTGTGAAGCAGTTCCTATCCTTCTTCAAGTCATCCCACAGGTTCTGCTTCCAGTCCGAACGACTGGATGAACCAGCCAGTATTTATCTCAGAGACCCGATGGCTCGGCCTGTTGGTATCATAAATGCTGATCAGACGTGGAGTAAACGTCAATATACTCCATGGATGGAGGGGACATGGGATGCCGGTGACACAATACTAATTGACGACCCCTGTAAGGATGATGATGTGGGAATTTACTTCCAATTACTGGAGCGCAAGTTGTACCACCCTACCTGGCATTCTCAAAAAATAAAGTCGGATGATCCCGCGGACAGGTTGGCCGCAAAGATGTCGGAAACCTACAGCAATACTCCAGAATCCGTGTATTTGGACACTCAGGGTCGCGAAATCCTTTCCGAGCAGCGCAGCGGTTTGTCTGTACGACAAATCCGTAAACAATATGATGCGCGGGGGAACTTATCTGCCCTTTCTGGCCCTTGCAATCGGATCGTTAGTCGAACTTGGTACGATTACTTAGACCGGCCCCTCCACGGCACCAACATGGACAGTGGGGTACGCTGGGCGCTCTTAGACTGCACGGGAGCTCCGTTCATATCACAGACTAACAATGACTGGTGGAAACGAGTAGGATATGATGCTTTAAGAAGAATCAAGTCCATGGAATTACTGCCGCAGTCTGACCAAGAAAGCCCAGTTTGCGTCGTTCAGAACCGGTATGGAGATGAGGAAGGTGTGCAGGATGCAGCCCGCAAGAACTTGAGGGGGCGGCTTTACCAATGTAAAGATCAATCTGGGGTCGAAACCAATGTGCATTTCGACTTCAAGGGCAATTGCATCGAATCGTCCATCCAGTGTGCAGCGAAGTATAATCAACTTTTAGACTGGTCTTTGGGAGAAGTTGAACTGCAGCCCAAGCAATATATCACCAGGTCAAGCTTTGACGCGGTGAGCCATGCGGTTAATAGAGCTACAGATGGTAGCCAACATGTTCACAACAGGTTTAACGTCGCTGGCCGTCTAGAGCAGGTGAGCTCGGCAACAACTGAAGACAGCTTCAACATTACCTCTTATGTGCTTGATATCAAGTATTCTGCGGATGGTCAAATAATCTCAGTCAGGTACGAGAATGGATCACAGGCCGGGAACACATACGATGTTCAGACACGTAGGCTGCAGAGAACCATTATTACCAAAAACAACGGAAAAACAGCCTTGCAAGATGTCTCTTTCGTTTACGACTGCCTTGGGAAGGTTGTCGAAAAGACCGACGCCGCTCAGGAGACAACCTACTTCCGTAACGAAGTCATCAAACCCAAACAACAGTTCCAGTATGATTCGTTTGGCCAACTTATATCAGCAACCGGTCGGGAGCAGGTCGGTTCTGCTGGCGACTGTTTAATTCCATATTCCCCGACATCGGGAAAAGCGAACACAGTACCGGGCGACGGGAAGCAACTCATTGAGTATCTGGAGACCTATGTGTATGATATTTCCGGCAATATCCTGGAGACGAAGCACGAGCCAGCGAGTAGCACTATGCATGCAGGGTGGACTCGACACTACACCTATGGGGAGGTAAATAATAGGTTGATCAGCACCCGAGTCGCCTCTTGCACAGAGAGTTACAAATATGAAGGCGACGATGGACTCAATGGCTGCATGACTTCGATGGGTGCACAGTCTTTACTCTGGGATTATAACCATCGGTTACGCTCCTTCTCCAAGCAACGGGTTAAAGAGGGCCGCACGCCGGAGACAACCTGGTATATCTACAATTCGCAGGGTAGGCGAGTTCGCAAGGTCACCGCCGGAGACGCAAAGTCAAAGGACACACTTTATCTCCCCCTCTGTGATATAGTTACCTCCTCCAGTGGGAGTAAGCCCGTAACACAGAAGACAACCACAAGCGTTGGCGATTTAAGCTCTCCCGACACTCCCATGGTCATGATTGAGACTAGTACCACGGACAACACCAGCACCGGGCAAAGCCTGCTCCGATATCAGATGAGCGAGAATCTGGAACTTGACGAGCAAAGCAACGTGATCTCCTATGAGGAATATTCCCCGTATGGATCCACCACATATCAAGCCCCGACCACAGAGGCTCCACGGAAGTATCGATTTGCAAACTACCAGTGTGACAATGAAAGCGAGCTCTATCATTGTGGTGAGAGGTACTACGCTCCGCGGCTGGCCCGCTGGACTTCAGTGGATTCTATTGGGACCGCGGGCGGACTCAATTTGTATTGTTATGTGGGCAACGACCCCGTCAATTTCCAGGACCATCATGGAACTGTTCCAACGTGGGCGGATATAGTGAGAAAGAACGTCCAGCCTATTATGCCAGAAGCTATCCCCGGGCCATCGACGGCGTCTGCGGCCCCGACAGAGGCAGACTTTAAACCCTTCAACGCCAAAAGCAATCTTCACCTTAAACGGTACATAAATACATATCAGAAACACGGCTCTGACTGGAATGTCCATCTGTGGAGCTCTGTCTTGGAGTTCAAAGACCCCGTCACCACAGAAAACCTGGCTCATCTTGCCCAGATGGGATTCAACGAAATGGGGACATTGTTTGAAAACGAAGGACTCGACGCAGGGACAAAGCCGTCGGTAATGGTTGCCATGCGCTTACAAGATGAGAGAACTGTCGTTTTAGCATCCTCTACAAAGGGGTCACAGGACAAGGGAATGCAGAAGGGTAGCCCCAGCGAATACTACTACAACTCTACTATAAACAAGGACTTCGTTAATCTACTTAACAAAGTAACCCAGAAGAAAACTTTAACAGGAATGCATAGAACAGGCGCCTGTGGCGAGCTGGGAGCCACCCTTACATTGATTCAGATGAGCAAGAGACATGCATTAGGGGGCAAAGGCCTCAATACAATGGTGGCTTACGGCACCGTAAATGTCGAAGAGCTCAAACGGGGTGAGGAACCTCAAAATAGCTTATTGAATCCATGTAATGGGGCAAGAGAGGGAAAGGGGAGGTGGGGATGTGAGCAATTCATCATAGCTCATTCGGACAAATTCGAACTATTAAAGGTTCAAAATCTCGGGGCCAATGACACTGGGCTATCGAGTTATCGTCAACAGAAGCATCCGGGCTTCCCGGGTGGCAAAGTGCCACAACGTTGATTCTGATATTCAATGCGGATGGACTAACAGAAATTTAGTTTTTTGTCTCTCTTAGGTGTCAAGAGAGATGGGCAGTAGATACCACAATGTCCCCAGTTAACCTGAATGGCATAGCCCAAAATGACCACAGCCAGGATGAGAAGTGAGTAGAAGAGCCGGGACGGTTTCAATCTCCATATTGATAATGTCAAACTTTAGATACCGCTATTCCTACTTGGTATCTTGTTATATACTAGAAGTCATTATTCGTCTCAATCAGACCTTCATATATCTATGGAGTTGATACTAGTGGATACGTTCAACTAGCTGGTCAATAGATAATAGCCCTCGTATTTTATTCAACCAATGTATACATAGTATGGCTATAGCCTACGAAAACAAGGAAGCAGCAGGCTGAGCACCGGCTTAGATGCTCTCCTGACAATGGAAATAAGGCTGTGTAGAGTAACCCAATAAATAGTAAATTCACTTCAATTGAATGCTGCACCAAGCAAAACTGGTTTTACTCACATTGCAAAAGGAAGAGTTGTTACTATGCATCGTCAGTATCACTTGTTCTCCGGTATGATGCAGGTTATCCCATGTTGGGAGCACATCGCGCGGAGTCGATCTTCCAGAGGCATCGCCCAGCGATCAAAGTCACGACAAGGCAGAAGCTCAAATGTCTTCAAACGCGGAGTTGTTTGACGAGCGGCTGCGAAGAAAGGCTGCAGCTTTTGAAGAACCAACTCCTCGGACCATTCATATGTACATTGCGATGACAGATCTTCAGTTAAGCATAGATGGGACAGCGAACCCGGTAGGATATCCGCGAGAGACGGTGCTTGTTTAGCAAACCACCCCAGCAGCACGGCCACCGGGACCTTGAGCTTGTGGAGGACTTTAAATGAATCCAGTGGTCCCAGGTGGCCAAGTACAGGAGATATCTCCAGATACTCCACCTCTTCTGCATAGTCGGAATAGAGGAGAACACCAAAATCCAGTTCTTCAAGAGTACCCTTGACATGGTGCAGGGCGGTGGTAAGACTTGCACAGTGGAGTAATTCTGGCTCATCTAATCCGAATAAGCTTAGGTATTACGATAGTTCACGAGCCAAATCAACGGTGAAGGAAAGGACGATTCTTACCACCAACATTGCATCGTCGATCATAAGTAAATATTTTTAAAGACGGACACGCTTGTAATAGCAACCCCAGGCTCTTTTCCTCCAATACTGCTGGCTTCAGGCAGAGATTCTGGAGGGTGGCAGCAGTTGGCCAGCTATTAGACATCATTTCCGGGGCGCTTACGCTGCTTTCGATGCTCTCGATAGCCGGAAGAGTCCATAACGGGCGTAGCTGGTTAATCAGTGTTTTTCTCTCCTTCAAGACGACTCTCTTCAGCTTTGGAAAACCCGCTGGCCCTCCCCCCTGGATGGATTCTGCTAGGATACCGGGACTGGCCGGCCACTGATCAAAATGCACAGAACGCAGGCCGGAAAGCAGACTGAGCAGCCTTTTTGTGGTCAGCACCAATTGATCTGGGTTCGCAGCGGCGCCAAGGTCTGCATGAATGGTGCGGCATATGTGGAGGTGTTGAATGGAAGCAGTAAGATCGGGACGCTCATTCATGGTCCGCAGCAATGCGTTCAAACAGGCAGGCGTCCTGATATCGACCTGCGTATATAGAAATGGCTCGACTGAGCGCCACAAGGGTGAAGAGACGCGCATCGTGGCCAGCAGATCGCCTCTCCCAAGGTTGGACCAGATAGCATTCCAACACTCAGGAGGGAGGATTTCTAGGAAGTTAACCATACGGAGGAGATTTTGAGGTCAAAACCGATCACGACTGGGCCAGACGATACATGCCAGAGACAACATCAAGAGGTGGAGACTGCCCGCCCCTCGGGCGATGAAAGTCAGGTTGGGGAGGTCACCTGACTTACTCCTTCGTCATCACCCCATCAGCATGTTGGAAACTTGGAACTTGGAACTTGGAAGCGATTGCTTGTATTGAATGGGTGGCAGGGTGGCCGCTAACGTAATCGGAAATCGGATGATCCATGAAAGCGGACGGTGTACTTTCGGTTAGAAGTCACATAACTCAGGTTACAGCTCGGATATAACTAGTGCACAAGTGACCTGTAGCCACTAAATAAGACTAAATAACTAACTAGTTAACTGCCAGGCCGCTTATATAATCATTTCATCTCGCGCGACCCAAATAATAGAACGATGACCCCAACTCATCTGCAACCTCCGAGTACACAGGTCAGGTGCCCCTTGCAACGTCCGGCACGGCACAAGTGGTTATGAGGAGAGAACGGTCGCGCAACTTATATATAGTATTCAGATCGGTCTTCTTGGCCCCAGCAATTAAAATTTTCTTTCTGGCTCCGATTCCTCCCATGGCTGACTTCCCAAAACAACTGCCCCCCGAGTGCACTAATGACGTCTGGTCGCTGCTCCAGCCGAGCGACCTATTATCTGTCATGCGCATCTCCTCCGTCTGGAGACGGTCGGCCGAGCCCATCCTGTACCGCCGCATTGATATCAGGAGCCTGGCAGGTATGGCCGCGTTTCTGCGCACCGCCAAAGAGCGACCGGATCTCGCTTCTTCGGTTCGGTATCTCTGTGTGCATAATGTGCTCACGGAGGATTCCAATCATGTACAGTTTGAGGGTACTTTCATCTCTATACTAGAGCGACTTCCGGGACTACGCAGGCTGCATATATACCGATGGCCATCCAATGTGCCTGTCCTCGCCGCAGCGATTCAGAGGACGCCTGGTGTTGCTGGACTCCGAGGACTGAAAGAGATTATTTTGGAGGAGTCCGATAGACCAATGGATGACCTCCGGCCCTTGTGGAACTTGCCCGTCTTGGAAAGTATCCAGGCAAGTGTGAGTGAGCCACAGAGCATGTCCGGCCCATGGCTAATATCCAGTACCGTCACCAAGCTTAATCTGGACTCAACAATCGCGGAAGAAGGGACAATCGGGTTGCTATTGCAGGCACTACCAGGACTGAAGAGGTTCAGGTATGACCATTGGTGTAATATTGGGGGTGAGTACCTCACGTGGTTGGTGTCGAATCAGCGTATTAAACTAAGTAGAGATCCAGACTGCCTTCCTGTGCCAAATTGTAGGGACTTGATGGTGTCCCTTCAATATGTTCAGAACACTCTCGAAGGATTGGAACTGCGAGCCAGCCTTTACTCGCCTTACGCCGAAGAAGTGGAATACTACAATATATGCGCGGTGGAAGGCCATATTGGATCTCTTGAGAACTTCAGTAGTCTCCGCAAGCTCAAAGCCCCGATTGCTATGTTACTAGGATGGCTCCCCGACCAGGCGCCATGTCTCAGTCGGATCCTTCCAAGGTCGTTGACCTATTTGTCCTTAACCGAGGACCTGTCATCACAGTGCAGCTATAGTTGGTCGGAGAAGCTCGTTTTGATGAAGGTGGAATGTTTTTTGGCGGCGGCTCGCCAGGCTACGCCCCTTCTAGAAAAACTTGAGCTCCTACCAAATCGTGAATTTGGTAGGTGGGATGCTCTATTTGAGGATCAACTTCATGCGCTGTGTTTGCAAGCTGGAGTAGCATGCATTATTCTCGACAATGAGGGCTCAGACGACAGAAACTAGACGGCAAGTTGTTTAGAAGTTACTAACAAGGAATTCCCAACTCGACCCAGATGACACCACGGCCGTAAAACTTGTAAAGATAAAGATCTCCAGAAGACAGATATGGTAACTGGGAAGTACTTCTAGCTGCATTGGAGATACAATGACGGAAATTTACTGTAGCTAATGGTAATCCCGGCGATCCGCTGTTCCCAGTGATATACCGGCCAGCACATAAAATTGCTTCAACTTTCAAAATTCATTGCTCTTATCAATATGAACTCTCTTCAAACCGCACTTAGTTCATTATAATTGTCGGAATCTGTAAAGTATGCTCGGACTGCCAGGGAATATGGCTGCGATGATACCACGTTAGACGCCGCCATCAAGGTATTTCGCGCAGCTGAATGGTTCTTGATGAGAATGGTCGTTCTGTAGATGATTATACTTCTATTGAACCAGCGCCTGTCCCAGGCCTTTCCAACAAGATTCTTCCCAGTAAGAATTAACTAATTTATTTAGTAATAGCTTTTACTAATAATCGCTTTAGAGTATGAGCGATTTGTCAGTATGCAAACCAAACTGGTTTTTTTATTTCCAAACCTACATTTGGAAGTCTTGTCCGTGAAGCCGTGAAAAAGATAGACCCCGAGTGTCGGGTGACACACCAAGCAATTGATGCTCTGCAGGAAGTTGCCGAAATAAGCATGACTCATTATTCCCCTGTATGTAACAGGTTCTAGTAACAGTATAGACTACTAATATTTAATGGGCTCAAATAAACTCACACGTGCAACTCATGGTTGAAAACATGTGCCTTGTTCTCGAGATCGTCCAGGAATCTTCACAGACGGTTGGCTTGTAACCTCAGGGCCCTTTCGACGCCCTAAAATAACTTACTACAAAGAAAAGAGATGCAATCAAACATATAACTGACAGGCTGCATGACACTGAGATTTTCCTTCAGTCATGAAGGTGGTATACACTCACCACCATTGACTACATCTCAAATTCTGCAACTTGAGGAGGAGAGTTGTCGCCATGCTTTTGCTTACGAGAATACTACTGAAGGGAATACTAGACGTAATAATCCTTATCAGGAGGATACTATTACTCAACTCTGTTACGAACCCAATTATATTAGGATGCAAGATTCTGATATTAATTCAGACGAGGATCCCGAATTTGAGGGTGAAATGGATCTTGATAAATTAGAGTCAGAATCAACGGAATTTGGAGAGCAGGGTGATAATCAGCAGGGCGACGGTGAGCAGGGACAAGGCCAGTAGGTGGCAGATTAGAAAAGGGGACTCTTTTAGCGGCCATGGTATTACTGAATTTTGAAAACGGAAGCGAGGACTGCCAGCTTATTGAAAAGGCAAGTAAAATCGTATTCCTCATAGCTGACCTACAACACTTCAATAATCCCGTTGGCGATATGTCTCCTGGAGAAGCGGCCGGCGCGGACAGTCACGACATGAATGCGTATGAAGCACCCGCGACTCCAGCTGCACCCAGAAAACAAGATCGCAAACTGCGCAAGCACCACACGTCGAGGAACCAGATGGGAGAGGGCCCGTAAACTTGCACAAGGCAGCTAAGAAAATCGGAAAAGACAAAAATGAGAGACATTCGGGCGAAGCGGAACGACAACCCCCTGCTCCCTACTCGAGAGCGTCGATCCCAGGGGACTACAACGCGAGGAGTTCTTTCGCCACTCGCCAACATCGCAAAGCTCACGAATGATGTAGCCACCATAGCTAGTACAAACAAAGTTCTCCCAGAACAGCTAAAGCATGCGACCGAAGAAGCGGAAAGGCGCGCCACGGACTTCGGCATTCGGGAAGCTGTAAGCCGTATATCTAAACAATATCAATACCTTACAATCTGAGATCACGGCACTCCGGGAACAGCTCATCCTCTCTGGGAAACTGTTAAACCCGCAACGCAAACAAGGCCAACAAAGAGCGAATGAACAAGCACGAGCAAATATTCCAAACCAGTCTCTCGAACTTATGGAAGTCTCTGGGTTGCTTAGAGTCTAGGGGAGAATATGCAACTACCACACCATCTAATCTAAGCACGAGCGTCGGGAGAAGTTGGGCGTCCATTTGTTACTTCGATATCGGCAATCCATACACCACCAAAGCGACACGAACAAACCTCAGCCTTCCCACGGTTACTCTGGACATCCGACAGGCTGCCCTCAGCTAAAGGAGACTCTGCAGGAACCGATAGAGCCCCGAGGAATAATTATGGCATCGATGAAAGCTCAGCACCAGACGGAAAACAGTATAATCGAAAGAATAAATCGGCACCTGGACATGCTATCAAGATCTTCGTGGATATGAAAGAGAACGCTACCCGTTTAAGTGACTATCAGGAATGGCTGGAGGCCCTCCCAGGTGTGCGGCTTCGGGGAGAACAGTGGTTCACTGTCAAGATCGATGATGATATTAGGAACTGTAGCAGCTAGTTGATTACTATTTTTTACTTAGGCAACGTACAGTCAGTTATTAGCAAATTTACCAAAAGCGCAAATGTATCAACGAGCGCACGCAAGGGAAGATTGTTATTTCAGAATTAGTTGCGACGCTGGCATACGATGCAATAACTTTAATCAGAGATTTGATTGTTTTCCATGGCCAAATAGAAATTCCAGGGTCAGACAGACGCTGATTGACAGAGACACCAGTGCTGATGCCAAAGGAGCAGCCAGGGGAGCGTGCAGGGCCGAAGACACTTCATACCTCAGCCCAGAGCCTACCAAACTGTAAGTAAGCAGCACTTCCAAGGTGGAAGACGGGTTTGTTGCTTACCATTCTAACGGATTATTGGCTCCAAGACCACCAATTAGTCTATACTGTACGACTTCCATTGGCTTGCGATACACTGGCGCAGCAGAGGTCGCACGGGCCGCTTCCCAGAGTTGAAAACTGGGTAGAAGTGACATTTCCCGCTTGTTTTTATACGAACGAAAATAGGCCCACGGTTGTTAGGTGTATCCTTCCGAATTGTCATAACAAATATAAATCAAATAGCTAGCTGTCATCTTTAACATATAAATTTTTAGTAGTTTAGTACACTTTGCAGCTACTTTCTTTATTAAGCAGTTGTATATCATCTACTCCGGCCCTATCGCATATGAGTTTCTTAATGGCATCTTCCAACACCTCGGTGTTGTAAAGATTACCATTTTCGAACATATCAATAATACTTTCCCATGGATCATTTTGGGAAAATTACACCCATGAGTTTACGATATTCTCGAATACATTTGTCCACAGTTATTTGGAGACACCCTAATATAATTACAAAAAAACTATCACCACCAGCTAATGTGATTATAATATTTTAAATCACGGATCTCACACTCCGGTACTTGTGCCTGCTATTATATTAAATACTTCGCATGGCTTTTTTCTCGGGGAAACTTGTCCATGACAGCTTTAAAGATTCTAAGTACCAACAGTCCGCGACTCCTCCTTTTTTATAGTAGATCAGCAATTTGAAGTCTTTCGACGACCAAACCAAAGACAAACCTAGTAAGAGGATGCGCAAAGGACACTCATGACCAGTTTCTAATGCATCAGCTCGGAAGAGACTCATAGGAAGCTCCGGTATGAAAGTGGGATTAATCTGCTTGTTAGCGTAGCCTGTATATTGCTCGCCTTCGCCTTCGCTGGAATCAGCGAATATTATTAGCCTGCTTACTGCAGTAGCATGACCCCTTGTAGTATAAGAACACACTTCTTCCCTCTTCCCCTTTACTTTCTTCCTCCCATTGATTCGTCTTTATATATCTAGTCACTAGATAGCAAGGTATTTAGCTCCTTTACACGTCAACTTTCTAAATCACTTCTTTTATAGTGTTAATTTCCGAGATAATTAAGTGTAGTCAATGGCTCTCCGGTCCTCTGTATACTTAAGTTTAGATCAGCACAGCTTGGCAAGTTAATTTGCTCTTACTTATACTATTATCAAGATCAATAACAAGATAAACTGTCCTGGCTGTAATTTTCCGGATCGCGAAAACGAACACAAATACGAATAGCTATGACATTGCCATCCTAGAGCAGAAATATAAGCAATATTTCTAAAATATAGGAGAAATCTACTTACCTCTGGGAGCCTAGCAAAGCATGTTCCTTTTGGAAAACCCCACTTTCAGCCTAGAGACAATGTGCATGAGCTGGACTGTATAACACCTGCCCTAAGAGATACTCATACCCATCCATATGTATTAGTCGAGAACCAATTATAATACCTAGTCCACACGAGTTCAATTCCATTCTTAACCCTGGGAAATGTGGCTGACTCGCTTTCTAAAACAGCCAGCTCAAACAATGTCCAATTACCCGCATCCCGTTCTAGTGCCTACACTTGGTCGTGTGAATCTGCATGAAGCTGGAGGCAGTAGACTCTCTAGATGATAGCGAGATTAAGAGCCTGAAGCCATTTGTCTCAGCATTGACAAGCTGCATGACGTACAGAAGGTCGGGACATACCGGTGTCTTAAACCATATTTTAGCAAGGATTTTATTATCTCGTGACTCTAACACCCTTATCACTGCATCTGTAGTATGCTTGCTGTCCGCGAAGGACGATGTCTGAAGCGAAAATAACTAAAATTGCTCAACTTATTTAATTGGGAGGTCCTAATCCATTTTCTCCCCAATTGATAATTCCTTCGCTTAAAAGTTCAGTGTTAAAATTAAGGGAAATTGATATTCGAGAAACTTTCAGATCTAAATAAGATACATGTTTGGAATTATATTTGTCAAACCCCAAACTGCGTTGCAATGCACTTAGAAGTCCCGGAAGAACTAGCTTTACTAATACCAAATGGGCTTGAGTAATCTATATCAACAGGATATCCACGGTTGCGGCGGTATGCATAATTCAGCAGCCTAGTGGCGAATTCGCTCGCCAGGGTGGGACAAGACACCACGCACACAGTGTATGCAGGAGAACTCATGGGAATTAATTTAGCCCTCTCTCTGGCCCAACCAACTGCCTCCGACGTAGCCACCAACAATCTGGTAATTCTTACTAACAATTAAAGTGCTGTACAGGCATGCGCTGAGTCTCCACGATAATCTGGACAATATATCCTACGCTGCAGTATTACCAAATTGATCGACTAAGAGCTCATCAAGTATGTATTCAATGGCTTCCCGGCTATAAAAGCGTCTCCAGCAATAAGCATGCAGACTACTACACCAAGCTTGCAGCTGTGCAGGAGTTTACAGCCTACACGCAGGAAGCAACTCTGGTCTCTGCGTGCCGTTGACGCCTCCGTGAGTTAGCGTACAAGAAATGGTAAGAGGGGTGGACCTCCACAACACACGGCGTCCACACTAAACAGATACACCCCGAGTCCACGAGTCGGGAGTTGGAACTCCATGGGGGCCTCGACCGTGCCCACAGCTCAGTGCTTATACAGATGCAAACAGGCCGGATCGCGTTGGCTTCCTACCTGGGAACATTTTGTGCCATGGACACGACGGCATGCCCATACGGGTATAGGATGGAATCTGTCCAGCATATCCTGATCTCATGCATCCACCATGCAGATCTGCGGTCAAAAACATTGTGAAGAGACTGCCGAATAACTGCATTATCGGCAGTATCTGGGACGTCTCGTCGGCTGCGGCTGGCTTGACGCAATAGGCAATTACATTTATGCTATGGACACGGCTCCTCGGCCAATTTAGAGCTTAAAAGATACTATTATCGCGCCACACAACCCGTAGGCGCATGCCTTCCGATACGCAATCGGACTTTTATTCAAAACGAGACCATTTTACCTCCAATCCTTCGGGGTTGCATGGACAAGATGCAGACATAAGACACGGGGCACGGAACCAACAACCAGCAAATCAGGCGAGGAGGTGAAGCGTGGTTATCGGTAAGGAAACATAAACAGAGCGGTTGGACATAGTGGTTAGGGCGAGATTAAATTTGAATTTTCGGATTGTGTGGCTTAATCATATACCTTTATCTATCTACCCTGTCTGTGGGCCTGGCCGTCAGACTGTGATCTTTTGGCAACTAGCGCAGAGGTGACATATCTGTATATAAATACTACTGCACTACTACTACCACTTTCTTTTTCTTTAATTTTAATTAAAACATATGCCTCTAGATCGCCCTACTTTCTAAAATTTTAGTAAATCTACTGCTCTGACTTCTGATATTTATGCTCGTACTGGATTAAACAGTTACGGCGGCAAAATTATTGATACGTCTTGTTCTCAAGGAATATCGTTCCCTAGAGTAAGCTCCTAGTAACTTAAATCTAACCCTTTTGATTAATAGACTGAAGAATTTAATACAGCCTGACCGTAGATAGCGTAACTATAAACTATTTTAATATAACTATGAACTCTAGCTTGACAGACACATAATTAATACGTCATTAATAAGTTTAATAGGGAGTTTCAGTGCTGTGTGGAATTGAACCAGTATTCTTTGGTTCATATTAAATCATATCCTAACACAACATCAACCAGGCGAAATTTATTTCCAGGGAATGCAACCTAAGCTAGAATCACGCTTCACGTATGCACGGTAATTAGGCCCTCTACTCTACTACCGGGGACGTTTTTGGAATTTGTGTAACCACAATATTACAGTGATGGCAAGGACGTCCGAAGACAATAACCCAAAAAAGCTATGTTTTCGTGTTGCTGTTCAATTGTACGTGGATAAAGCGCTAGAGATTCTGCTGCTACGTAGATATTGGAGTTAAAGGCAGACTGGCCTAACAATTGCGTACTTCTGACCCACAGAGAGGAAGGAGGTTCTATATGTTTGAGCTTCCGCGAGAAATATCGTGATCCCGTATCAGCCAGCCAGATCATGGCCACAGTGTAAGAATCACTTGTTTAGACAGATATAGTAATATAACTTACCTTGCTCATGTGGAACTGCAATGCAATGTATTAGGCTTACATTAGTTAGTTAAAGACTAGACTTATGTAACAATGGTTTCTACACTTCGTGAGCTCAGTTTTGGTTACATAGGCTTTTAGTAAATTAACAAGGTCTGAGTTAATGACAGTGTCATCCACTATTTACTACGACGTTATCATGTGTACGTCATAGATAACTAGATAGGCGACAAAGACGAAGGGAATGGAAAGTGAGTATTGGAATTTATAGCATGTGATACGAGTCGAATCTGAAATATTTAATCGCCACTATTCATCAAAGACCCAAACCTTTAACGTCCCTAGTAAAGCTTTTAGTGTTTGCTTCCTTTCCCATACATCCAGGACTTCTCACAGTCTAGCAGAAACATAATGATTCTATATCTGCTACTGCCCATTATTGTTGTTCTAGTTTGCAGAGTGTCTGCTATATCCATTGAAGACAACCAGCCTTTTAGCAACCAGGATTCTCTATTCAATAGGCACATACAGAGCCGGTGAGCATGAGGGGTCCTCCCGAGGACTTACCGGTAGCTTTCTACATATAACTGGTACGACTTGCCAAGCCAAAAAAAAGGAGAAAGAAGGAAAGGGGGCATCGGAAGTGAGACTAATCTTTACGCAGATTTACATTCAGACTCGTACTATAAGGCCAATTCTAAACCCGAAGATTTGTGTCATTCGGGAAGGGGTGACGCAGGATACTTGGGGGCAGAAGGGACACGCTGCGACTCACCTTTCACCCTCATAGACAAAACATTCCGCTGGATAAAGAAGAACCTCAAAGATGGTATTGACTTCGTCATATGGACTGGTGACTCCGCCCGCCATCAATCCGATATACGCCGAGATAAGGAAGAGATACTTTGCTCGAACAGAAATATTACCAAATATTTTATAGACACATTCAAGGATTCCAATCACGCTCTTACCATTCCAATTATTCCTACAATCGGGAATAACGATATATTGCCGCATGATAGCATGAAAGACCCCACAGACGACGAATATAATTGGACCAAGGAATTCCGAAGCGTATGGGCGGAGTTCATCCCCAAGAGCCAGTACAGTACATTTGATGCTGGCGGATGGTTTACTACGGAGGTGATTCCTAATAAGTTGGCTGTCATTAGCTTGAACATGATGTATTTCTATTTGAAAAACAACTGCGTCCACGGATGTGATAAGGAGTCACAGCCAGGCTTTCGGCATATGAAGTGGCTGCATAAGCAGCTTTCTTCGCTACGATTGCGCAACATGAAGGCTATTCTAATAGGGCATGCCCTCCAGCTAGGTCTGGACGCCCTCAAGAGGGAAAACCCCCCAAGGAGTGGAATACCAGATACTGGCGTGAAACATGCTGGCGGAAATATACTCACTTGGTCCACCAGTTCGGCGATGTGGTGGTTGGCATTGTTTATGGACATATGAATATCGACCACTTTATACTCCAGGACAGCGATGAAGCAGAAATTCTAGACGATAGTAGTAGTCTACAATTCCCTACTATGTCTTTTGATAATTCCGATGAGTCTGATCACTGGTTCCTCAAGTATCTCTATAGTCTTAGGGAAGATTGGTCTAAATTGCCACCCGAAGACATGGATGACCCTTGGCTCAGAGGTACAGTGTGTCATTGATATCTCCCAGTGTAGTACCCAATTTCTTCCCAACACTGCGGGTTGTTAATTATAACATCTCCGGCTTGACCGATGTTGCCACCTGGGCCAGCTATTTAGATGAGGATGCCGCATTTGGTTTGCCTTCGCCTGATATTATCATCAATGATGATCAATCGATTGAGAAGAAAGGGAAGGAGGAGAAAACGAAGCAGCTTCTTTTCAAAGTTCCAGAGCATCAATCCTCCTGTCCTCCTCCAGGGCCGGCGTACTTGAATCAGCCGTTGACATGGCTGGGCTGCATTCAATATTTCGCAAACATCACAAAGATCAATAATCGAATGTCCAAGACCCACGGACTGAAGGATAATTCTGGCAATTTCACAGATGCTGAAGTGAACGAAGCTAGTAAAACAAGCCATGATTATAATGATGACGATCTTATTTTTGAAGTTGAATACGACACCAGTGAAGATGACATTTATAGGATGGACGATCTTACAGTACGCAGTTTCCTTGACTTGGCCATTCAGATTGGGAAAGGGTATAAGGATCCATCAGTGTCCAAAATGAATATTGGTGGCTTAGCTACTAGTAACATTGGCGCAATCAGGAGCGATGAGTTTGATATTAAAAAGAGAAAGGAGAAGAAATCCAGAAATAAGGATACAGCGTGGAGAACGTTCTTCAGACGGGCAACTGTGGGCTTTTGAGACCTTGATGACTTTTGAGTATATTTCGGAATGATTAACCCGTATTAATTAAAACAATACGGCGATCGGCGCCAAGTCATAAATTAGGTGATCCACCTGAGCGCCGAGACTACAATACGGCAAGCCATTAGTATCTGTATATGCGCCATGGCAGTGTGACGATAAGGCGGATACTGGTAACTTAGGGCAGAATGAAAAACGACAATTGTCTAGAGTGATGCGTTAATGCTGTGATAGGGAATTTTGTGTCAGAAAATATAATTTGTTTAAATATCCTATTCCACTCTACTTCTTCCAACATCGAGGGCCAATGGAGCCAAATGGCAGTAAGGACAGTAGGGACAATAGGGACATTGGCCCGAGAGGTCAAACGGGCTCCAGCCCTTTACATCAGATTAAGGATGTTAATTCTGTTTGCACAGTCTTGCATTGCAATAGGAGGATTTTGATTTATATAATGAAGCTCCAAGTCGATAAGATTCCTCGCCGAGAAATTAACGCAGCCTACATATGATGGTTTGGTTGTCTCTGCGCTAACGACTGATCTTCTATCAGTCGCATATATCGCCCTATATAGGAGCGAAGGCCATGCCTGGGCAATACATCGGGCTCAACCCTTGACACTACAAGGTTCTTAATCGAAATAACAGGGCAGGTTGCCTTATACAATTACTAGTGTTACTGTACTAATTTTTGGTGTTATTATCTACATAAAGCCCCTTGTACGCTGCATATTTTGCAAGAATAAACTCTTTTATGCTAATATTACTTGTCAGTGAGATCATCTCAGGCAGTGCCACCGATTTGTTAATTCTTATAGCAACATGTTGAGAACTGTCGACAATATGTATAGAACTATAGACGTCAAGCCAAGCCCTTATAGCTAACAAAAAGCTCGATTTCTCAAAGGCGCATAAGCAACAGCTAGATTTTCTGCTTGGAATAATAATCTTCACCGGTGCAAGACTATTCTCAATGGTTGAAGGCGAGCCTATAAAGCAATTTATTCATTCTCTTAACTCTTAATATTCTATCCCCTCGCGCAGAACTGTGAGTGAATTAATTCTTGTTAACTGCTACAAAATAATATTAGATTAATTTCTTAATATTCTTGCCTAATCCAGCTATATTAATATATCGTTGACGAATCTACTAATATCTTAAAACATCAAATTATGAACCTTTCAGTCAGCGATGGCAGGGAGTGGTATTATTGTTACTCTAAAAAAAAATAACCGGTAAATTTATAGCCTTAATGGCTACGGCAGATTGAATTGCTAAACAGGTATTATTTCTGCAAGCATATATATTATATATATCTAACCTTTACTATCCCAGGCTGGCATCCTAGTTAATACTCGATTTAAGAGAATAAATGCTCTCATTACTAATACATGTTCAACAATGCGATTAACTTGGGGACTGAGCTGTAACAACGGCCGCAATCCTTACACCTTTTAATGGTGGGATGTGATTCACACGGCCTGCAGATATTAGTTAAAGATTTTTAACTTGACAGACTTTCCGAACGGACAGTTAGGTAATTGACCCATATCTCCAAAAAGTTCGTAACCAGACGTGCAGGTGGGTTCTCCAGATCGAATTCCCATCCATCAGCTTTCACCACGGTTACACGGCGTCGATGATGCATCTTGACATCGATCGCCTTGGCCATGTATGTGTGACGGGAAACTCGGCATGCACGGACGTACTTGTCCTTGCCTGACTTCCTACGCATGGCCGGTACGGAGCCCAGTTGCAAAACCGTAAGCGGCAACAGCCTTTCTGCAGCAACATTGGACTCTGGAAAGGGTGGGTGTTTAGGTTTAATTACGTAGTAACGGAATTAATTTACATCATGCATGATCTTTACATTTTTGCAGCTCAGTTAAATTTAAAAAGAGTCATTGTGGCTGGTTGAGGTTGCGCCACGTAAGACCGTATCTGTATGAATGTTGTCTGTTCAACGGCTTATGAGATTTTGGTTGAGATATATCCCGAGTCGCTCTTGTCCATGGCTACCATACTGAAAACACCCCGAGCGGAAGCAACATTTCACACAACATCCTAGGTATTGCCAAGTACCGGTGTTACACATTGAACGGCAAGGCAAACATATCATGGTCTGTCCTCCAATCATGCTCTGAACTGTCCGTAGTGAAGATATAGTGACTTGAGGTGCTATTGCTTTATGTGTCGGAGTCAGGGATAACGATCTCTCAGACTACTACGAATCTTACGGATGAGGATTTGCAACTGCTTTCCTCAGAAGTTTTCCCTCGTGTCTTCGGCGAGAACACGAGCCTTGTCCGCCATCTTGAGGACCAGCTGGCAACGACCCGCTCCCTCGAAGTCACTGTGAACGCTGTTCACTCCGATCACCAGGGCTCCAGTTCAGATCGCACTAATCTGGACTCCATCAGATGGCTGTACACACTCAGCAACTGCTCCGTCCCCATTGTCGCCTTCTGTTTCTCCCAGCCACCGCTTGCTGGGGCTTCCTTCCAACCGGCGGTGGCCCGGCGAGAGCTTGCCGAGCGCATTGTCACTATCCCAAGCGATAGCCAAAAGCTCCCTAGCAATGGCGAAGGGGCTTGGATGCGGCTGCGCGAGCAGCTCTTCACCGAGGAAGCGACCTCCGTCCTCCGCGGCCTGATCTGCGCGGGAGTAATCCCGGCACCGGACGAATGTAAAGACCTCATCACTTCGGTCCTACATCAGGCCATCCAGTATGGGGACTTTGACATTGCCAAGGAATCCGTTCGGGATCTACTGGCTGTTGACAAAGGTGGTGGTGATGATGTTGGCAGCACGGCGACAATCTTTACGGCCGCCGGCGTGCCGCCGGAGAAGCGGCAAGCTGTGGCTACGTACCTATTCAACTTGCAGAGACTGCAAGCATTGGTGAACGAGCCCTCAGACGTGGGCGCTCTGGTCAGATGTGGTTACGCATCAGCAGAAGAGATTGCCAACGTGGGAGAACCAGCGGTGCAGTCGATCATGCGCGAGGGTGTGCCATGCGAGAGAGCAGAGCGGATCAGGAGCCACGCACTCCGCATCGCGTCTCGTAGTGAGCATTTGTGGACGCAAGCCCTCGCCGTCCGCGGCACCGGCGGCAGCAGCATGGATGTCTCCCTCGCCGCTGTCGCTGCTACTCCTTCCTCAGGCCCGCAAGATGAACGGGAGGAGATTAACCTGAGCACGATGTTCGGCGTAGACAGTATGGGCTGCGAGGAATGCGCGTCAATCACAGGCCCAGCGGCATTCTTCGTCGACCTGCTGAATAAACTGGGTCATACACCCACCACAGCAGGCCGTAATGCCCAGGGCGTCACGCTGCTAGACAAGCTGTTTGAGCGCCGAGCTGATCTGGGCGACCTGCAGCTCTCTTGCGCAAATACAAAGGTACTTGTTCCGTACGTCGATCTCGTGAACGAGGTGCTGGAGTCGGTAGTGTGGAACCTACAGGACCAAAAAGAACCTCGCATTAAACCCGTCGATGCGGACGAGAACGACACCAGTGAGAGTTCCCTCATGCAGCCGCGTAATACGAATTTCCAGGTATATAGCAAGATCCTTCAGCCACTCGTATCGCCGTTGCATAGCTTCCCATACAATCAGGCTATCCACAGCGGCCGTGCGTATCTCACAGCCCTGGGGGCCTCTGGATGTAGACTACTGTCTACCTTCAGATCACCGTATGCTATTGCCTCCGATGATAAGAACATTAATGCTGTTGGCGAAGCTTTGGATCATGCGCTTGCCGCGGAAATATTGAACCTACAACGTGAGGACTATGTGGCAATTACCAAGCAGGGCTTCTATAGTCTGGAACTTCTGAAAACGTTAGTCGACGGCAACATGAATCAGACGGAGTACGGGAAAATAATCGGACTGAGGCCCCGCTGCCAGTACTGGGGCTTCCAGAACGACGACGACATGGCACCGCAGAACCTGACGTGGGACAAGGGCCTGGCCAAGATAAAGGACGAGTTGCTCCCCCGCAGCGGCCTGACATTAGAAGACCTAATAAACGTCCTAAAAACCAAATATTGTAACGGGAAGCTGTTCATTGAAATCAAGAATAAAACCAAAGAACAAGATCCCGATCCCACAGAACTACTTGAGTCTATGCGACTCCGCGAGTGGGTATCCGACCCAACCAAGCCGCCGCTGCTGCGCGTGGTAACATGCGACCGCCTTCAGGCATTTCTACGGTTGAGAAACAAATCTCAATGGCCAATTGAGGAATTGGACGCCGTTGTTGCTACGTTTGCTGAACAGGGGATGAGCCAGGACGGGATGACGATAACACCTACGATGTTGGACAATCTGGCAGCGGTTAGGCAACTGGCGGATCTCACAAATCTTTCTCCGACAAAGCTGCAACCATTCTGGGGCGATATGAACACCCACGGTCCGAATTCGCTGTATGCACAGCTCTTTCTTAGTGCCGTTCTTCCGGAGGAAACCCGCAAGGTGCTCACGCCCGATGGCAGTGGACGTATCTCTCCGGGCCAGCCCACGCCGATCAGCGACGACAGTCTTCTTCTGATGTTGATGGCGTTGGATTTGACGCTGGCGGAATATGAATCAATCCGGATCGCTTTGGGATTGCAATCCCCCGTCCCTCTGACGCTAGCCAACATTTCCGCTGTCTACCGTGTTTCGGTGCTTTGCAAAATTCTGAAGATCTCTCCGCAGGCGTACTCACAGTTCTTGGAGCTATATCCAGCCGACTGGAAGCCGTTCATGGACCCACGAACCACTCTGGGCCTCGTGCGGGACTATCCGCCGCTGCAGCCAACAACAACGCGTTGGACGCTGGACCGTCTCCTCTTTGTTATTCGGAGAATTCCAAGCGCCACGGATGAGAGATGCAAACCTACAATGGAACGGCATCTTCAAATCACGGAGTCGATCCGTTCTTGTTTGCATAGCAAAGAGCTACAAGACGTAAAGAGGAAAATGGAAGACGAGAGTGCTCTTCTAATCCTCGTTGACGAACTCATAAGCAACGCAAGTGGTAGAAAGGATGTCATGCAGTTCATCCAGAGCCCCGGTGACATTTCCATCGATAGCTGCGTGGCCAAACACTTCATATCCGAGCTATCCAATATAGTCGGTAAGAGCAGTGCTACACAGCTCTGTGCCAAGATCATCTGTGCAGCGGCAGGCCAGGACCGTCGAGACACCTTCTTAAATGCCTTTCTGCCAAGTCGATATCAAGAAAAGCAGCGTCAGGCAGTCCTTAAATCGTTAACCCTAATTTTTCCCGATCTCAGCCTGCCACTGCTCACATTTTGTCTCTCAAATCTGATTCGGGATGTGACTGGCCAGATACCGGGAATGGATATATTCCTGCGCCTCGCAGAGACACCAGAAACGACAGCTAGCAAATTTTCAGGCTACTTCCGTCCACCAACAACAGGGGTCTACGTATTCAGGTCTAAAAGCCAACCCAAACGGGCTGTTCTGGATGAAACGCTGCTCAATTTCCAGAAGCAAGATCCTTTTTGGACGGCAAACACCAGCCAGCTTATTGGAAGCCGTTGGTACAAGTTAGACTTCGACGGTGACATGCGCGATTTGACATGGGTAGCTAAACAGGCTGAAGGCGCCCAGCCCGCGTCTTTTAACCGCAGTGAACTATTGGATGCGCGCCTTGTCAACGACACTGCCCAGGTCATTGTCGACTTGATGCGGGTCTCAATTCTGGTAGACAGATTCCGCCTTTACGGGGCAGAAGTTGAATTCACCCCCGTTATACAGTACCTGCTATCCAAAGCGGGCCCCGAGAGTTTGGATTTCAAGAAGTTCAGTCTCCAGAGCGTGTACAACCTTGAGCAGTATCTGGAACTCCGGGAAGAGTTTACAAAAAAGGGTGCAAAACTGCCACTACTCACGTTCTACAAATGGGTCTTATCTCCTGAAACATTTGATAAAAGCGGCGAAGATAAGACATATAGTGAGCTTACAGATAAACTCTCCAAGGTCACTGGGTGGCCGACGCCTCTCTGTACCGAATTTCTGCAGTCAAAGTACCCTAAGCACGATGCAAAGAAGTTGGTGGAGTTGTTTCAGGCAATTCCCACGCTGTATCAAATGCGAGAGGCCATCCGGTTTGTTCAGGACCTAAACCTTCCCAGCCTTTCCACTCGATCCCTATTTGCCATAGCGCAACCGGCATTAAAGGACCTAGTCCAAGCGGACTTTGCGAATGCCGCCGCCTTACGTCTAGCCATTCAGTCAAGACGCTTCCCCGGCCTATCGACTACGGGTGGGACTGCCCTTTCAGAGGCCAGCGACAGCATTCGGAGTAGTCAGAGAAATGCACTGGTCTACTACCTACTCTCCACTCAGTATGCGCGAGACAAAGACCTGAACGATGCCGATCTACTATTTGGTCACTTTCTCATCGATGTGCAGATGGGCACGGGGCTCCAAACCTCCCGGATCAAACAGGCTATCTCGTCCGTCCAGGTATTTATCCAGCGTTGCGCACTTGGTGCGGAACCGGGCATACGATCCGAGCTGTTCAACCGGACTGAGCTGGAGTATATGCTGCGATATCGGCTCTGGGAAGCAGATCGCAAGGCATACCTGTATCCCGAAAACTGGGCCGACCCCACGTTGCGCGACAATAAGACCGAGCAGTTCCAGGTGCTGGAGTCGAAAGTCATGCAGACCAAGATGGACAGCGAGAGCGTCGCGGACATTGTGAAGGATTATGTGCACAGCGTTGATGAGATCGCCTACCTACGGGTTGATTCGTACCTCCTTAATAGGATTCGTTACGGTGGCGCGAACCCTCTCGATCACGATGATATTCATATCATCGGTCGCAGTCGGACCTCCCCTCCACAGTTTTACTACCGCAAGGTTTCGATGCCCATGTTGAAGACGATGGGCCCAATCTGGACCCCGTGGAGCAAGATCAGGGTTGAAATCCCCGTCCAGGATACCGATGCGGGTATAAAAAAGCTCCCCAGGCCGGGATCATACATCCTTCCGGTGGTCTTCAACGACCAGTTGTATATTTTTCTTCCGGACGTCACCCTTGGGCGGAAGGATCCGGAACGGACGGATCAGACGTACGAGAACCTGATTCGGCAAGGGAAACCCTCGGATATTCGACCTGCTGGCGTCTGGGAAATTCGCATGGGATACATTCGACTGAATAATGGGAAGTGGTCTCCAAGGACGGTGTCTCCGTCAGCCATACATGTCAACCCTGACCAAGAGAAAAATATGCCAGACATTTCCAACTTCAAGTTCTGGATCATGCCAGAACGACAGAATTTATCTTTGACAATAGTCGTCGAAGGTATTACATCAGATAAACAACCAAGCTCCCTAGGGAAGTTTCAGATCAGAGACCAGCAACTGGTCCTAATCGAAGAAGATGGCTTGCCCGTACCTAGGGTATACTCGGACAATACCAAGAATATACCGCTTTCAGCTGATGGAGAAACTATTACAACCAAGTTTTTAAGGTTCCAGAGTGAATATCAGGAGAATCCGTCGATCCCGGAAAAGGACATTATCTTTGACAAAGGTAAGAAAGCCACACTTCGGCTGGGAGGCACCGAGATTAGGGATCTGCTCAAGAAATCTACTTGTGATTGGATTATGGAGTTCAATCATCCTGGGCCGGACACTTCCGGTAAATATGAAGCAAGAGGGCTTGTCCTGGAGGTGTCGAACTCAAACAGCATCAGCCAATATATTAACCTTTCTATGTTACATGGTTTCCGTGTCGAGAGGCTGTTTAATCGGACCTCTTCTCTTCTGGTGAAAACAGCAAGACAGCAAGACAGGATCGAGCTCACCTTTGACACCTTGAAGAGTATTGTGCACACTGCACCGGATTTTCTGCACAGCGATGCCTTTGGCAGGTGGACTGAGAACACTCGAGAAAAAAAGGTACACTACCATGAATGTGCTGCACCATTTGCCATCTACAACTGGGAGCTGGGCGTCCATGTCCCATCTCTGATAATGGAGCGGTTGATGGCTACACAACAGTACGAGCTGGCACTAAAGGTGGCCAGACTTGTATTTGACCCCAGAATAGACGGTACTGACGTTTATCGGTGCTGGTCCTTCCCCCCCTTCCGGGAAAAGGATGTCATTAAAACGAAGTTGGATTCCCTGCAGGAGTGGCACGAAAGCGGGGGCAACGTGCATGCGGCTGCTCGAGGACATCCTGTCGCCTATATGAAGCGAATCGCAATGAAGTACATCGAATTACTGATCGCCATGGGTGACGAATATTTCCGTCGTGACACTCTGGAGAGCATTCCGTTGGCGATCCAGATGTATACAGAAGCATCCCACGTGTTCGGCCCACAGCCGGTGGAGTTCCCCCAATTGGGGAAGCGGAAGGCCAAGACGTATAACGAAATTAAGAACGACCTAAACGAACTTTCCAACGCCACCGTCGACATGGAACTCAGCTTTCCCTTCGATATTAAGCCGGGGCAACGGGGAACTACTGTGGCACAGGGTTCTATGCCACGGAGCTTCCTCAGAACCGGCTATTTCTGCGTCCCCGGAAATCCGTATCTCGTTTCGCTCCGTGCTGCCATCGACGATCGTTTGTACAAAATCCGCAATGGCATGGACATCAACGGGAGGAAGCGGACCCTTCCTTTATTCGAGCCACCCATTGACCCCGGGGCACTGCAGCGAGCGAAAGGCCCAGGCGGCAAGGGCATCGCGGGACTTCTCAGTGACTTGGAGAGCCCGATGCCGCGGTATCGCTTCCAACGCCTGATCCAAAACGCGTTGGAGCTGGTAAACGAGCTCAAGGCTTCCGGCCAACAGCTGCTGTCCATCAAGGAGAAACGGGACTCGGAAGGCCTGTCGATGCTGAGATCGAAACATCAGAGTGCAATCCTGGCATTAGTGACTCGCGTGAAGGAATGTCAAAAGGTCGAAGCCAATCGGTCAATTGAAGCGTTAGAGGAGGCGCGGAAGCAGCAGGAGATGCGCTTGGAATACTTTTTAGCCCTGACCGGAGACACGAAAGAAATACCGCCGCCGGGAGGGACCTGGCGTGATATCCCGCAAAGCATTGAGAAACCGCAAATGGACGACTTTCGCATGTCACCATTTGAGCAGGAGGAAATGAAGAAGGCTGACGAAGCCTCCAACCTCAATCTGGGCGCAGGAGCGTTCGAAACGGCTGCGGCTGCGGCATTTGCCATTCCCATGTTCGGCATGAAGGCCCAGCCCATGGGGACTGGCGTAGACACCAGTGTCGGGGGCCAGAATATCGGCCAAGGCCTGCTCACATATGGAAGTGCTTTAAAAGTAGCTGCACAGCGAGTACAGGACGACGGCGCAAAGGCTGCTCGAAAGGCCGTGGCGACTCGCCAACTGCAGGAACGTCGGTTGGAAGCCAACATTTGCGGCCGAGAGCTTGTGAGGATCGACAAAGAACTCAACGGCCTGCGGTCACGCGTCGATACCTGCGAGGCAGAGATCCGAGTTCAAAAACAAGAAATCGACAATGCCGCCGCAGAGGAGGAGTGGTTGCGCACCAAATATACCAGCCAGGAGCTGTACGCCCTGCTTGATCACTCTATGGGTACCTTATTCCATCAAACTTACCTGATGGCAACGGCGATGGTTAAAACCGCTGCGCGAGCTCTTGACTTCGAACTTGCAATCAGGCCGCAGAACAGTACTTTACAAGACTCGGTCGCTAGCTCAGGAGGGTACTGGGAGAACTCTCGCGATGGGCAGCTGTCAGGCGAAGCATTGCTTCTTGACCTGAAGCGAATGGAGTCAATCTACATGGAGAGCCGCACTCACGACTTCGAAATTTTGAAAATCGTGTCCCTGCGCCAGGTCAATCCACTGGCGCTTCTACAACTCCAAGAATCGTGTAAGGCCGATTTTGACATCCCTGAGGTCCTGTTTGACATGGATTTTCCGGGCCACTACTGCAGACGCATTTCGTCGGTGGCAGTTTCGATGCCCTGTATCGTTGGGCCCTACACTAATCTCAGCTGTACACTGAGTTTACAACAGCACAAGTATCGCATCTCATCCACTGCAGCGAGCTACAGCAAACAGAAAGAGGCCAGTTTCCGCACTGATCGTATTCCGATCAGCTCCATCGCCGTAAGCAGCGGGATCCAAGATACGGGGGTCTCCGATCTGCAGTTCCGGGACAATGGACGGTACGGACCGTTCGAAGGAGCGGGCGCCATCTCGACCTGGCGTATTGCGCTCCCGGAAACACTAAAGCAGTTTGACTACAGATCTATCACGGATGTTGTACTCCACCTGCGGTACTCTGCATTCAGCAGTGGTGGATTACTAGAGGAGAGTGCTTCCTCGGCTGTTAGAAAGTGGGCCAAACAGACGACGAGTACGGCATATGGAAAACTGGACAAGGTTGTTGCAGTAGATCTTCAGAACGACTACCCGTCTGAATGGCAGCGAATCGCTTCTACCGGTTCTATACAATTACAGCATCTCGACCAACGATTGCCGTTTTGGGCCCGCAGAGAGACCTCTCCGATCAAATCAGCAGCTATAACTCTGTATATAGCTCCTGAACCGGAAGAACATACCGAAATATCGATATCAATCGACCAAAATAAAGTGACACTGAAAAAAGGGGGTAAGCTTGGTGATTATTTTATTTATCAGTCCACAGAGGCCCTGGAAATGGATAAACCATGGATAATGAATGTCAACAGCAAAGGGAAAGGCTTTAAATGTGGCTGGCTTCTCATACAGTTTTCTGTATAAGGATTGTACCTACAGAGGAGTGTTGAAAATATTTTTCGCGCTAGTACTAGTTCTTCTTGGTGTTAGTCCTGATACAGTGCAATGGCTTGCACCTAGTAATTTATATGGTAACATTGGCTGTTTGGAGATACCGTTGCAAATGCGATTGCTACCTCCAGGTAGACCTGCATCCGGCTGTTTCCATACAATAAATTATTGAAAGTATTGGCATCATCATTAAAAGGGCGTCTGACGAGTTGTCACGGTCCTAAACCTAAATTGAATGAAACAAGATCTATTCAGAACATAGGGCGACTCATATTCGAAACAACTAACTTGAGGAGCTATCTGTAGAGGTGTTGCTGGGAGGGAGGTGTAGGATGTGTGATCACGTGATTGAATAGGGCTAGGGCTGGAAATCAGGTGATCTGGGATCTCTTCGAGGTCGTGGGCCCGGGGCCCACAACTTGACCTTGACCTTGCCGTGACACGAGTCAGGAGTACATGAGGAGCAACATGCCGTTACAGGCGGAATGGCTGGTATGTCACGGCGTGAGCATGGCGGAACAACTGGATTCTATTTTAACGAAGACATCGCTTGAAGAACTTGTAAACAGAGCGACGCGAGGTCAGAACTAAACTATCTACAGGCGGTGAAGGGAGGCAGAACCCGAATCCTGACATGGTAGAAGTGGCGCCGCATTATTACAAAAAGAAGGACCTGGAAACTCTAGGACTAGAGAATAAGATGAAGGGCACAGGGGCAGCGGGGGAGAAGAGCCGTGATTGAAGCCATGGTTCATTGTCAAAGTGTATGTAGTAGTATGTACTCTATATAGCAGCTATTGCATAACGTAGATTACCAACTGCCGCCGGATACCGCCTGCCGCCGGATTTCCGCCCCCCACGATAAAATCGAAAATGAAGCTTTTCGACTACATACAATTCGAATTAGATAAAGAATTTTTGGCGGAGTAATCTAGAGCTGCTAAACATGCTATATACAAATTTAAGCATCCCGGAAGCGTTGTGGGAGGCGGATTTGCCTGCCTCGACGACTTGTGGTAGGAGGGACCTCATCAACTATATTAGAGGTCTGTACAGCCGCAACTTTATTATTTTGGGCTGTACAAGGCGTAGAGGTCTTCTTCTTGCCTTTCTTGTCCGATTTGAAATCATTTTGAAGCTGCAGAGAGGCGGCCTTTGCTAGCTGCTCTTCCTCCTTTTGGCGCTTCTTTGCCTCCGCTTCCTGACGGCGTATTTCTTTATTAGTATATTCTTTTAGTTTTCGTCTCTCTTCAAGCTGCCGTTGCTTTTCCTCCTTCTCTTGCTACCGACGAAGCTTTTCCTCTAGCTTTAAGGTCTTAGCAAGCCGTAGTTCTTCATCCTTTTGTTGCTGAATGTCCCGAGCTTGCTGTACCCGCGCAGGAGAAAAGAATATTGCACCACCATGTTCTGGCTCGCGGAAATTAATTGCAAGAGCTTTCCCACGTTGTCACCTTCTCTTCTTATTCTGGAGGGCGAATTCTAGGCCTTCGCACTTGATTTTTTAAGATATTCTCTGTAAGAGTGCGTAATGTTTCATTCAACTTTGACCTTTTATCAAAATATATCACAACATCGTTTACAGCGCTCTAATCCTTCTCCATGTTCTGCGCGTAGAACAGAGTGGGCTGAACCGCTTGAGGTAGGTCTTTTCTCCTCTTTCTTTATAAAACGCGCCAGAACGATGTCAGGATTAAAAGGATATAAACCAACTGCTTTCCAAGCGCCTGTGATGTTTTTCGCAGATAAAGCCTTTTCCCAAGCTGGATAGAACATGGCAAAGAAGTCCCGCTTGCTAATAGCGCTTAGGCCTTGAGATTGATGCAAAAATTCCTCCAAACGACTGCTGTAGGCCATGGAAAGCGGCCAAAGATCCCAACATCAAGCGGCTGTAGAGAATGCGTAGAATAAGGAGGATAAGTAGCCAGTAGAATCCTATTAGCATCACAGTAGTTAAGAAACTTCATAGTGACATGAGATCCATGGCCATCAAGGACTAAAAGCCTGTATCCCCGCCCGGCTTTAGCCTTTGTCCTTTTATCAAAAATATCCCGAAGCCATGCAAATCCTAGCTCATCGTTGGTCCAGCCAGAAGGAGAAGAGGTAATATAAGCGTCATGCATCGCTGGATTAAAGTCTTGCAGCCAGGTATCTTGTACTTTGCCAGATACTGCTTGATATATTAAACCTGGTGGTAGAGCAGTTCCGTCGGCGCAGATACAGGCAATTGTAGTTATCCACTCTTAATTACCATCTTGCAAGCTGTACCTGAAGCCTTCTTTCTCATATACTTGCTTTGAAAAGATTCTTTTGCCTTTAGAGAGTATTCCGATAAGAAATCCCTTCTTATCCATATTGTATATATTCTCCGGCTGTACGTCCCATTTCTCCAGCTTAAGACGTAGATAGTCAAAGTATAAGGCATACTTTGATAAGGAATCAGCTCGTTTGCGTGCAGCATCAATGGCAGTTGTATAGCGAGAAAGAAGGCTATCAGGATGACTCTGTATAAAGCGGCCAGGCCACTGAATTCCTGGCTTTTTTCCCAGTAATCTCTTTGGCAAAATTTCGAAGCATTTCATGTGCAGGATACAGGCCTCTCTCTGTTAACTTATTTATATACTTTATAAGCTCTTTAGCCTGGCGGTTGTTGAGTACTCGCTGGTTCTTATATTGTTGTGTCCTAGAGCCTTGAATGCCGCGGTGATGCCGTGATAATGTTCCTGGGTCAACACCGAACTCTTTTGCAGTTTTTGCATAGTTAACTGATGCATCTGGGCCCGCTGATTCGATTGCTGCTAACGCTGATTCAAGAGGAGTCATATTGAATGAGATATGAAGTGGTGAAGTTGGTGGGTGCAAATTGCGACGAAAGCAACAATATCAACGGAGAGAAGCTAGATAACATTTAGTTTTTGTTCATGAATGGAACTTGTTGTTCTTCACACTCTTCATCCGAGCTTCTCACTCGCTAGGAGCGTTTTGGGAGGCTCTTAATAGGCTATACTGGCCAGGGCCTCACCACTCTCACGATTCAGGCCCTCCCGGGTTAATTATCTCCTAGTCTGATTATCATTTTCTACTAACAAACTCTCTTTTACATTTATTTACTAACTACGTAATGCCTAAAAATTCCAGCGAAATCGAGGATCAACTCTGTAATGCGCTGCGCGCGTATAATGAGCGCAAGGAGCCCAAAATCGCACTGTTGGCTCGGGTGTTTGGTATCTCCTACCAATAACTGAACGGACGCATACACGGTCAAATCTCGTTCAGCGCGTACTGGCCCGAAGAAGGTGCTGGACCCAGGAGCAGGCATTATGATGATCTTTATGTCACGTGGTCAGGCAGGCCTATTTCTCACAACACAACAATCCTTGTATGATAGTGTTTCCCCTCCCATAGTTGAATTCAGTTGGAAATGCTACCATACCTAGCTGTCCATCGTGGACATTTCTATGAATGAGCAGTCATCACAAGCAGCACCATTCAGAGTTGAACATCAAAACCAATTCACCTCAGATGAGAACAGGAAACTAGGATGTAGAGTATTCATACGACACTATCCAGAAATAAACCTGTACAACGCCAGGAGATAGTGTCGCAAGTGTGGTGGAATGTATGAGTTTTGTGGGAATCCCTTCTATCAATTTTGAACATCTGGTTTGCAGTTGTAGCTAAAAGTTAAAACTCTAGGCGTAAGCGGATTTTCGCTCATGGCAGATGCTGCGATTAATTTTGGGGGCCATTCGTGGGATCAAAAATAGCCTCTGTTCAGCCATAGCTATTTTGGCTCTCAGGGGGAGCGTCATCTTTAACCAATCAGAGCTCGTATAGAGCTTTGTGCTATCGCTGCGGTCCAAAAATAGTTGCAGGAGAACTGCTACGCTTAGAATGCAGGCAGTTTGTCCTAGGTTTGTAAAATACCCTCTGGTTTTTTCTTTTTTCGTTAATTCCGACATGAATCTGTGTCTTGTTACAGCATTTTTTATCAACCTAGGACTATAACGGGGCAGCCATATCTAGCAGGATAGCTTTACATATCTATTTCCCTGCTATAAATACACACTCCAATGGCTTTTAATAATACCTCACAGCAATTATTATTTACATCACTAAGAACAGTATATAAACTATCTAGTTTCTGCGCAGCAAAACTCGAGAATCTGGACGCATTAGCCTAAGATGAGAGTTACCCTTACTTCTAGAGTCGAGACTTTAGAAGACCAGATGGCCATGCTTATCAGTGATTTTGACCTCCTTAAGAAGGGTAATATCACGGACCAATCCAAGCCTCAATGTTATAAAAAGCTAAAGATTGACCCCCGTTGGTACTGTGACAGAGTCGACAAGTTAAAAAATGTTAGCTGGAATGTCAGGCACCCACCGGAGAATGCACGGCAAATCCGTGACGATGACGATGATTTAGAATTGAAATTATCCCAGAAAGTCTTTCACGGCCCTGTTCTTCTCTTATTGCCATTGGAGAGTAGATATGGGGAGGTTGAATGGGCTCTACCAATCAACGATGTTACTGTCAGAGGCGTTTTACAGGCTATCCACGATCACATCAAAGCCTACGAGGAGGCTTGTGAGGAGGGAGATGAATGTGAAGAGGGTGTCTTTGAGGGTTTATCTTTCTGTAGCACCGGCGTCTGGAGAGTAGACATGGGTTCCTGATAGATAATCCGTTACAGTATATAGTGCTGAAGAAATGGCGTATAGCCGGTGTATAGCTAGCGCCTTGGCAAGCGTACGGGGGTTTTAACCTGTAAGAATCTCTCCTTCCTGTATCTATTCACGCAAGATACTGCTCAATCTACGTCTTGTCTCCTTTCAAATGCTATCTTTCCCTGAATTCACAACATATAGTATTAGTAGAGCTTCATAGAAATAGCTTAAGAAGCCCTGCAGGTAGTACCTCCTGTAACAAGCCCCCGTTACACTTTCTCTATCCGCCAATGATCCAATCTTTCCCTTGCATTTATCTTTGATCGCGGGTCCTTCTCCGTTTCTCGCTTACAAGGGCTGAAAGTCTGTATAAAAATCATCTTTCAGTATTATATACGGTTATCTGTCCTTTTTCCCATTATGGTCACTCTAATTATGATCTAATAATTTTCTCACTCGTTTCAAGTCCTAAAGTTCGCTGATGTTTGCAGCTCAACTTATTCGCACTATATACAGTCACATGACAAAAGTCTACTGTTGGAACTTGGAAGCGATTGCTTAAAGCTAGCTTACATAAATGATGACTAAGCGATCGAAACCGGGGGCAGGCGCCCATGCTTGGCAATATGCTCCAACATCTACATAATTCCGCATCACGCGACTCGCTGCCCAATATTATGCTTCATCTTTTCAACCACCTTGTTACGGAAATGCTATAATCCGCCCGACTTGGCGGTGCGGAGTATCTGACGATCGACTCAACCCCTGAATCCTTTAGATAGTCGAGCACCCAAGATCTGGAGTAGAGCACCCAGATAGGAATGCAAGAGACTCAGTCGATTGAGATACTGTGATTCCTGGTGTTTCCACTGAATGACATCTACTTCCTAATTAGGCTAGTTGGCCTGTAGCTGATAGAATAGCTCCCCTGCGCATCACTTCCCCTGAATTCCACAACATTTGTTATGAGCCCGCCGCCCGGGTTTGCAGCGTCTGCTTAACAACCAGGCCTTTGCACCCCGGCAGCTTATATAGGCTTACAATCCCTATCTAGGCACGCAGGTGAATCTGTTCATCAACGTGTGTATCCTCAACGTCCAGGACAGTGGTTAGGACCGATCAATCTACCTACCAGTCGGAGTTGGGTAATATTACCACCCTTCCTATCGCCGAAACGATTAGATGTCAGAGAGGGCTCGGGATCCCCGGACAGGACGATTTATATCAAGCGGGAGAACACTGAGGGACAAGTACCGACCCGAGCGCCGCATCGAGTGAGGATCCCGTGGCGATCCCACTACCAGGTGATTTCCCTGAGGTGGAAAGTGAACCTGACGAGGGTAGAAAACCCTAGAGAGGAGCTAAGAGAGGCTTATGAAGAGAATAGAGACATTCCGAGTGAACAACTCCAGAGCGAACTAGCAGTCAGAATGGTGACCCAATTCCACGAGCGCCTACCCGAGACGGTAGATTAGAACGTTTAAGATATCGACCTGAGCAAGAAAAACGTACGGACATGGAAACAGAAGTGGAAGAGTTTTGCCGCATACAGAGATGCTGGGAAGCAGTGAAGCAAACCTTGGATAGACAGGATAACCAGGTGAGCTAAAGAATTGCTGGAGGATGAAGACTGGAATGCCCTGGATGCGAAAGCAAGATATATATCAAACAGAATATCCAGGATGAAGACAAGACAGCTGTACGATTTGACAAATTCAGGTGCAGTCTGGAAATATCTAATGAATAGATATGAGAGAATAACACAGTATGATATGGTTATTGCACTCCGAAGAGTATCACAATGGAAAAAGGATCCTAATATGGATATCGAGTCATCTCTTCAGCAGCTGGAACAATGGAGTGCGGAACTATATGAAGTCAGCAACCGTGAAATAAAGTTTAATGAGCTTACCATTTTGAAATTCTTCTTGGATGGATTACCAGATGAATATGACTTTATTAGAGATGCCTTATTTGGCAATGCTGTGCTTGAAAGGGGATTAGTCTTACCGACTGCAACAAAAGGAGCTGAAGTCAAATAAGACTGGCAACACCGGTACCGAGACTACTGGCGAGTTGGCAAATCGAGCAAAACAAATAGAATGCTGGAACTGTGGCGAAAAGGCCAGGCAATGGAATTGCAAAGCTCCAAAGAAGGAGAAAGGCAATAGAGATCATCCCAAGAGATGCGAAAGACCGCGAGCAGAAGATAAAAGAAAAAGTCCCGGAAAGCCAAAGCTAGATTCGCAGAAGAAGAAAAGGACTCGATAGGAGCGATCTAGCGATAGGAAGAGCCCGCAAATGAGAAAGGCTATAGGGTGTATTTAAACAGCAGATCAGCAACCAATTTACGCATCTAATTGATCAGGATGATCAGGGAAGGCCACCGCTTAAAGGGGACAGAGACCCCATAATCGACAGCGGTGCAACCAGTACGGCAAGCGGAGAATCAGAAGCTTTAGATCTCTGGACCAGAGATACGGTGGAACCCTTGGAACAGCAGGAAAAGCAATAAGGATTGCAGGAAAAGGCACCATGCAGATATCCTTAAGCAGTGGGAAAACAATGAGAATCCCAAATGCTTTATATGTGCCAGGCATGAAAGAGACCCTGCTTTCAACGCAACCTTTATATGCAGACGGCATCTGGAATGAGCATACCGAGAAGGGATACCGATTCTTCCGCAAGCGAGGCAAAGAGAATATTATTGCAACTGGGTACAATATTGGCCGGACAAGTTACCTGGGATGGGTAAAGAGCAAAGATGTATTAGCTGTTCAGTCCCAAAAGTGCAAGGAATGGGATGAAGCTGCAAGGCTGATTAAACAGGTGGATTGGGAACTAATCCACAGAAGACTTGGACACCCAGGACGGACCAGATTACGAGTAGTGAATTAAACAGTTGGGACACTACTGCTAAAAAGGAAGCTATAAAAAGCTTACAGTCCTGTGAGACATGCATACAGGCAAAAAGTGCGAAGAAACAAAACCATGAAGAGGCTCCAAGAGCTTCAAGACCGCTGCAACGGGTTTATATGGACTTTTGGGGGCCATATAGCAAAGCCAAATGCAACGAGGGATGGAGATACTACCTTTCACTGACTGATGATCACACAAGGTTTTCATGGGTATATTTGACCAAGGATCGAAAGGCAGAGACCGTACAGGAGACTCTAGAAGCATGGTTAGCTCAAGTGGAGCGGGAGAAAGGAGTCAAGCTCCTAGTGATACGCACAGACAATGCAAAGGAATTTCATGCATTGAAGACATGGGCAGAAAAGCTGGGGATTTAATTAGAGTTTATTGAGCCAGATACACCTCCGCAAAATGGTGTTGCGGAGAGGTTGAATAGGCTGTTATTGGAGATGGTGCGGGCAATACTAATCGGGGCAGATATTCCAAAGGAATATTGGCCATATGCAATTCAGATGGCAAACCACCTACGAAATAGGACCATACGGGTTAGAGACACCAAGAAAACCCCGTTTGAGCTTTGGAAAGGCCACCCACCAGATATCTCAAAGTTTCGAACCCCATTCTGCAGAGTTTGGTTTCACCGGAAGCCAAAGGATGGTGATAAGCTTGAACCAAGAGCAATAGAGGGAGTCTTTATTGGCTATGAATCAAGCAGGAGTCATTACCTAGTGATGACTAGAAAGGATCGGACAATCCATCGAGTAACGAACCCCATTTTCCTGGAAGACAAGAGAGGTTTTATCAGCAGAGAACCAGGAAGCAGAGATATTGGGGAAGAGTCAAGATACCAAAAGGCTTTTGAAGAGAGGCAACCGTCGCCTCAAATCAGCTCAGGAAACATCCAGATACCTTATATGGCTGAAGGACATGCAGATGTTCAGCAGAATCAAGGAGATAAGGAATCTGCAGAAGACAACCAACAGGTTGATGAGGTTAAAGAAGCTGAAGAGGTGGTAGAGGTTGAAGGTCAGCATGCAGACAAAGATAACCACGTGGGTTACCGGAACCGACCCCCGAAAACACCTCTGATTTGCGCAGACCAAGCAGAATTCGAAAGCCTTCGCAAGCGGCAATCGAATCCAACCAGACAGAGGCAATATATGGGCGAAAGCCACGTGCCCAGAAGCGCAGAGAAGAGAGGGAGGCAGTAAAAGAACCTTCTCCGCACATATCCACTGCAGAACTGCAGCGAATCCATGAAGTTGCAAACCTAGCTGTAGCGCTAGAGCTTCATCTTGGTGACAATGAGTTTGCTTTCAGAACTAAAACCAAGGCTAGTAGCAAGTTCGACGGACAGATTCCAATCCCGAAGACCTACCAGGAAGCAATATCTGATCCTGTGCGTGGATCCCAATGGAAAGAAGCAATCCGGACTGAATTGGGCAACTTAATCCGCTTCGGAACATGGAGATACGTCAAGAAACCAGTCAACCAAAAGGTTATCTCCACCAAATGGGTATTTGATGTCAAATACTCTGCGGACGGACGTGTGGATAGATTCAAGGCACGCCTGGTTGCCCGAGGCTTCTCCCAACAAGAAGGATTAGATGTTGAAGAGATTTTTGCACCAGTAGTACGATTGGAAAGCTTGCGGATTCTATTTGCACTAGCTGCAACATATAATCTAAAAGCTCACTTGCTGGACGCCACAAACGCCTTTGTTGGATCAAAAGTCGACAAGGAACTCTACATGGAGATCCCGGAAGGAATTGATCCAAAATCCCACAATCCAAATGATGTTTGCGAGCTCTTACAATCCTTGTACGGGCTGAAGCAATCTGCATACCTTTGGAACCAAAAGGTTAAGGAATTCGTCACATCTATTGGATTCAAGCAAAGCACCGCAGATCCAGGAGTCTTTATTAATAACCGCCGGGTTATTATAGCCTTATATGTGGATGATATCTTTGTCTTTAGCACAGATCCAAATGATCTGGATGCTACTAAGAGGAAACTGAAGGAGTTTCATTCCATGAAAGACTCTGGTCTGGTACAAAAGATACTAGGGATTCGGATAACCTGGGGAAAGGACTTTATCCAGCTTGACCAGGAGTTCATGCATACTCCATTTTGGAGGAATTTGGAATGCTAGATTCAAGAGATCAAGATCTTCCATTAAGTCCCAGCATTGATACGAGTGATGAAAATTCCCGCAACTAACCCGGGACTGCATGAAAAATATAGGAAAATTATTAGACGCTTGACATACTTGGCTAGTAGAACCAGAGCAGACATTCAATTTCATGTTAACAGATTAAGCCAACATCTTGCAGAACCCAGAGATATCCATCTTCGAGCATCGAAACACATTCTCCGATATGTGAAGAAGACTATAAGCTATAGTATTAAGTATAGCTTAAAGGGGAGTGGAGGAACAATGGGATTAATAGGATACTCTGATTCATCATATGGAAATGCAACAAAATGTCGCTCAACCAGTGCATACATATTTTGCATGGCGGGAGAACCGATTAGCTGGTGCAGTAGAAAGCAGCCAATAACTGCCACCTCTACTACTGAAGCTGAATATATTGCTGCTGCAGAAGCTGCTAAGCATGCAATCTGGATTAGACACTTTCTTATAGCTATTTCGCAAGCCATGCGGAGCAGTTAGATTAGGTGTTGATAACCAGGGAGCATTGGCACTTGCAAACAACCCGGTTAATCACCTGCGGAGCAAGCATATTCGCATCCGATACCATGCAATCAGGGATTTCATTGAACATGGTGACATTAGGCAATTTATATTCCTACATCTGAAATGCTTGCGGATGGATCACAAAGGCGTACGGGTGAAGGATTGAAGCAAATGGTCAAGAAGTTGCAACTAATGGGTTGGAGAACTAAGATCCTATGGATGCAACATCTAGGACCTTCAGATTGATTATTAGAGGCGTTCAACACCCCCCCGCAATTGTTTTGTTTTATTTTCCTGTTTTGGAAGTCTGTATGGCTTCATTTCATTCATTTATGGAAAGGCTACGGGGTATTGAACGAAGGGGAGTGTTACGGAAATACTATAATCCGCCCGACTTGGCGGTGCGGAGTATCTGACGATCGATTAAACCCCTGAATCCTTTAGATAGTTGAGCACCTAGATAGGAATGCAAGAGACTCAGTTGGTTGAGATACTGTGATTCCTGGTGTTTCCACAGAAGGACATCCACTTCCTAGTTAGTCTAGTTGGCCTGTAGCTGATAGAATAGCTCCCTACGCCCCATTTCCCCTGAGCTCCACAACAGATCCTAGTCTTTTGCTCCTGGCGCAGCAGTTTTCTCGATCGAATGTTCCCGATCGGGTAGGCCGTGACAACGACCAGGAGGTAGGTTAACCATTTAGACTATCACGCTCCTCCCTCGCGGTGAAAACCATCTGAATTTCTGGCAGGTTCAAAACAAACGTCTCCTTCAATTCTGGCCCCTCCAGTATGGTTGACATTCTCGCCTTCTCTTCCTCTGGAAAGTCAAAGGAGAATGAAAAAACCAATGCGGCCATCAACATTCGCATTTCCATTTGCGCAACGCTCTTCCCAGCACACGAGTATGCACCGATGAGGAAAGGGTTGAAAGCCTCCTTGTGCAGTACAAGTTCTGGGTGGGACGACCAACGTTCAGGTACGAAATCCCCCGGATCCTTAAAGTACCGTTCGTCTGCCTAATGGTAAGCCCCGGAAAATAAGGTTCTGGTGCTACACTACAGACAGGGGAAAAAAATAAAAATAAAAATAAAAAACATACCTCGGTGAAGGGTGTATGTGGGGGTGGAAACAAGAGTATTCCCTGGAATCCACCTCCCTGCGATAGACATCCCTTCCGCAGGCGTTAGGCGCTGAACACCGCTGGGGACATTTGGGAACAATCTCAACGCCTCATGGATACAGCTATTGAGATAGGGTGCTCGCACTTGGAGGTTGCGATGCGATATGTCCGAAATGGAAGAGACAATCTGGCCCACCTCCTTCTGTAATTTCCTTTGCTTCTCGGGGTATTTGGCCAGAAGATAGATCAAGGCACAGAGGGTTCCCGCAGTGGTGTCACTTCCGGCCACAAATGCAAGGTCCGCGTCAGCCGTCAGATCCTGTCTACTCTGTGTATACAGTTTCGGCTCTCCGGCTCCGCTGTCCAGAAGGTAGGAGAAGAGATCGACGCGAGTTCGAGACCTCTAGTACATACAAACGCGATCAACGATGCAGTCCGGAGCCACAGTGGAATTGGGGGCTGGCATACCTTTTCACGCTCTTCCAGCTGAGATGCGCACCAGTCGACCCATCTCTGCCGGAAGTAAGCTAGAAATGGTAGTTTTTGGAGGATGATAAGCAGCCACGTAACGTGCACCATGGGCCCCATGAATCGATGCATTGCAGCTTCCTGCGCAACAGCAACATGGGGCTTTCCGTTTTGGACCATCTGGAAGGATTTCCCAAGTACCATCTCACCCATAACATCGAATGAAAAGAATCGGACCCATTCGGTGATTGGAATCGGCCTATCTATGTTCATCGAGAGCTGCTTGATAAGGTCCACGCAGTGAATCCAAATATAAGGCTCATAATGCTTCAGGGCTGTGGTGTCACGATAAATAAAAAGACCTAGCTAACGAGAAAGTGGCCCGTACCGTCGCTATTAAGCCCCATATCCCAGACTCTCCTTCTCTCCGAGTGAAGGTCTTTATCTCTCGTCGCCTGCAATGAATGCCCCAAAAAGTCGTACCATGGACCTTTGGAGCAGGTCGTTCTGCAACCATGGATTGCGCGGACCGCATCTATATGATTAATGGACATCTCCCGGGGGCCTAAGGGAGTTAGAAAGGTCATTTGGGCTATCGCTGGTAACTTACGGATGCGAACAAAGTCCCCATACTGCTGGTGCAGCCGCTGTACTGTTCTAAAGAACGCAGGATCCCACATAGACCAGAACGCAGTTATCCTCGCCTTGAAGGGCCCAGGAACGTTGTGCAGGGGGTGGAAGAAGGCACGGTAGACCACCATACTACTAAAGAGGGCGGCAAAATACGTGACGCTGATGGCCCAGTATGAGTGTACCTGCAGATGAGGGGACAAGACGAAAAGCCACAAGGCCTCGAGGGCAAGGTAGGTAAAAGCAACCCACGGGGCACGGCGCTCCCACTCTCCACGCCTGAAGACTGCTAGGTGTGTCCAGGCGCCGCAGACAGCCGCAATCATTAGTTGGACAAGGGGATTCATATTAATTTTATGTATTATTCTAAAGGTGTGAGGGGATTTGAGGTTTGCTGGCAAGAGAAGGAACTGGAGTCGGAGATCCGTGGATTTTAAGAATAAGACCAGGGTCTACTTGAAATTGGTCGGGTTCCTAGGAACTCAGATGACGGCATTCGCCTTAACCCTCCAGACTAGAATATATTGTTATTATCTAGATAGACGCCTACTCTGTATACACTGGTAGCCAGTATCAGTCCCACCTTAATTAGATTCCTAATAAATTGCTGCCATGTTCTAATTTCAGAACTCCCAGGTTAAATCCGCACTTTCCATGCGTTAATATAGTTAATACGCTGGACTTTTTTAAACAACAGCAATTCCTGTATGACATAAAGGCCAGCGAGAATGGTGGATCTAACACCATTGCACATTAGCGTGATGAACGTGAGGGAGAGCTGCTGGGTTGAATAAAATTTAATTTATAGTTGGGCTACAGTAACATCAAGCCTGCATTGTTTGAATTCGATCCTAAGGAGAAATTAGCTGTTCTTGTAGCCGTTGTATCATCTCTCGGGGTTACATTAGTTAACCTTGAATTTCTAACGAATTTCTAACTTGGGTCTAGGTACTGTATAATAGATAGTAGGCATCCATGGCTTGGAATTCAGAGGGAAAGAAAAATCTTCAAGGATAGCATTTGATAAGATAGGATCCAAAAGGCCAAGTTATCACACATACATTACAGTACATGTACATTTTCCCATAGGAATCTGGTCTACCCCGGTTTGGCTAGGATTTGTCCCTTTTTATTGAAGGAAACCGAACTGCACTGGACTCAACCAAACCACATCGGGGACAATTTAAGAGGGTATTTGTTAAAGAAATTCTTCATCTTCCGGGGACTGGACAAAGTTCGAGTCAGTCGATAACGCATTCAAAGAGTTTGGGGGGGCACAAGTGGGTGAGAATAGCGGTGGGCGGACGAGTAAAATAGGAACTTTATACCGTATGTATCCTTCCCACCGCCCTTTTTTTGGCCCTTTTACAGAATAGAAATATATACATACTATATATATATAAATTTTAATATAGATCACTTGGAAGCTTATGCCGTGTCCGTATTTGTGTCTTTTGGAATACCAAGGTGTGCTAAGGAGGGATAGACATGAACAAATTTGGCGAATCGCTCCAGGAAATAGTGTGACCAAGAAATAATGCGCTTTGATTAAGCCTACAGAAATGGGCGGGTCTTTTGCTTACTATTGTATAAAGTAAAGTGGGTGGGCCATGTGAAGATTGAGAACGAAATAGCTGGTGCTCCCTAATTTTTGCTAACCCCTTAACACTGTATTGCTTTGTTACTGTACATACTGTAAGAGGGCGAAATGCTTTGCTATCTATTGACTAGATATACACAAAGAGGAATCGCTGGGAGGAAGAAAGTAAAAGGGGAAGAGGGAGGATGTGCGTTCTCGTACAACAAGGTGTCATGTGACTGTAATAAGTAGACCAGTCATATGCGCCGATTGCAGCAAAAGTGAAGCCGAGCAATAAGATACAGGCGTAGGCTGCGACACATACAGAGCGCTCTTTGTCTCTACGGAGTACTGTAGTGGGCTTCCGTCAGAAATCTTAACTAGTGTCGTCATGGCCAAATAGATTCACAGCTATGGGCTGCAGTACTGTAAAAATTTTTCTTTTCACTTGCAAGGCTGACAAAATCAATGGGTACATACAGTAACTATAAGTTTTCTCTTAATAAAGAATTCCCCTACTCAGGAGGCATGGTTAGCCTCCTACGGCAAGCCATTACGTCCACTCCGCAACAATCAAATTTCTCGCTAAGTTCTCTTACCGCACCTTTAACCGCCTTCCTACTAAATCTAGCTGCATAAAGATAAAGTATATTATAAAGATGTATATCTAGTATGTACAGGTAGGTTTTTTTCTTTTGTTTATCTTTACACTACCAGGCATTATGAGTCGCAAATCCATTAATCTTGAGCTGTATAAGGCTGATATTCTTAATCTTTATAAAGCAGAAGAAACAGTTAATTTTATTCTTTCTTATCTTAAAGATATACTATATACATAGTATTCAAATCAGCAAGCGTATATTAGAGGCTCGCCTTTAAACATGGGGTGCTTAAAAGCAAGACTGTATAAAACCTTGGATCCTCGCCTACATGCTTGTATTCAGGTGCTTTTCTTTTAGGTTGGACTAGAGGAAAAAGAGCTTCTTTATGCATTGCAAAAAGAAGGCTTTATAATAAGTCCCCGTACTCTTCGGAGAGTCCGCACAAAGCTTGGTCTTCTACGACGTGTACATAGTACTTAATAGTAGCAACTTTTGGCAAGCTGTACATGCTGTATCACTATCCAGATAAAGATATTTCTAATTATAGACTACTAGTGAATGAGAGGGAAATGGTAGAACTCCGAAGGAGTAGGTCAAGGAGACAATCTTAGACAGTTCAGAAGTTGTGGGCCCCAAGCCCACAAGTTCCTGGCAGGAGAAAAGACAATATGCCCTTTACACAACTGCGTTCCGTGGTCTGTGAGAAGGTTGTTGATTGTCTATTACCTCTTCGCATGAGGACTTAAGATAATAGCTATCTATACAAACGTCACGTGCTAATCCCCCGAATTCCTCCACTACACTAGTGCAGAATAATACCGTACAGAGACTTTAAAGAGATGTCCAGGAATATGGTACATTTTGCCTAGCTATATAAAACTTTTACTAATAGTATTTAGAGCTTGATTAATATCTTTTTGCAGAAACCTTGCAATTTTGTCGTACACAGCTTCGGGGGATGGGCTTTGACCCTGAAAATATATTGCCAAATGGACTGGATGCCGATCCAATACTGTTTTGTACTAAATATCTGCAGCTACGTGAGGCTATCACCTTGCATATTAATATGCAGTCTGAGCCCGTACTAGGATTACTAAGTTAGTCCAATCTCTTGGCCAAATATGTACATACTAATATAGGTCGGCAGCTGCTAGCCCTTCCAGGGCACGACATTATATTTATCCGCGGCAGGATAACTTCTTGTTATTTTATACAGCATCGTCCGTTGTATATTAATGCCTTGCTTATTTAATCCCGTGGGCGGACACTGCCAGTGCCTTGTGAGCAGGCTTGGCAATAATACTCTGATATGATACTGATTAATATATCGGTATTAGTGATCGATACTTAATAGTATTAGTGATACTTCTTGCTATTGTTTAATATAGTGGCAGTAGTTGTTCTGAAGTATACTATTACCATGGTAATTACCATCTTAATAAATTGCCATAGTAACATAGGCGGTGAGGCTCTGTCGAGTATCAGTAATTCTATTAATTAATACTAATTAATACTTATACCAAGTATCGATCGATGGCATCGATACCCGGAGGTATTGTTGCCATGCCTGCTTGTGAGAGATACCGCACTCCACAAGGTATATATCTGTTTACCGAATATTGCTATGTACCAGGTATATTCGGTGGTATATGCGCCAACTGCAAATAGCCGGATCTAGCTGCCCGCTGTACTGTACGGGATAAGCTCTGGCAGTCCGTAGCAGGCTGGTCATCGATAAGTTCCCTATCGATAACCATCAGTGATTATCGTTATCGCCGATAGCGATAATTCATCGATGATTCATCGATAAATTGGCAGAACCTCACCGCCTATACTTCCTACCCCGCTTTAAACTGGCTCCTTGATTTCCACTGCATCTAATTCTTATTCCTACTAGTATTAAGTAAAATATGGATTCTGATGCAGATTCATCTAATCTTATATCTTTATCTACCCTAGATTTGACTGAAACTGAGTCAAAAAGAGGAAAGACCGTAAGGGGCCAAAAGACATGGGCCCATACTCGTCCACCACAGGATGGAGAACCTCAATTTCACGGAACTGCTCCAATAAAATATTGTGTTTACTGTGAAGAATCACCACTGTACAGTACCTCAGTTACTACTAATATACGAGGCCATCTTAGATCAAAGCATCAGGTTTATGTTGAATCCACTTCAACCACATTACAACAATTAATAATCGATCGATTACAGCAGTTATATGAGAAAGCCGAGAGCTCGGGTCAAACAAAAGAAGTTGATACTAAGGTCTTTCAAAAAGTCTTAAATCAAGATATTATTAATAAGGTATTAGTATCTTTAATTATTATGCGAAGCCTTTTATTTCGCCTTATTAAATGGCCTGAGTTTCATACACTTTGTTAGGTGCTTAATCCAGAATTAGAAGGCTATATTATTACAGCACATTCCTTAGTCCCAAAAAAGATTAAACAATCATGGCAAACACAAAAGGATATTGTACGGAAAAAGCTTTAATTAGCATTGTCAAGTATTTATCTTTCACTGGATATCTGGACCTCTCCAAATCGGCTTCTTTTCCTTGGTATTTGCGCACATTTTGTTGAGGAAAGTCAGGAGAAGTTGTTAAAGGCTTTTCTTGCTCTACGTACAGTAACAAACCACAGTGGAGAGGAGCAGTTTGTTACTCTTCTTCCAGTCTTAAAAGACTATGGGATTGTACAAAAGCTTGGAGCTATTGTTTGTGATAATCACACTGCGAATAACAAGCTATGTCGTACAGTTGCTAAATATCTTAGGGAAGAAGTAAAAATTGAATAGGACCCAACATATCGGCGAATCTTTTGTATTGGCCATGTTATTAACTTGGCTGTACAAGCCTTCCTATTTTACAATGTGGTGAATATTGAGCAACTTAGCTTGTACAATAAACAAGAAGTAGCAGAAGGCGAAGGGGATAATATGCAGGGACAAGCTATGTTTCGTGCAATTAGACTACTTGGAAAGCTTCACAATATTGTGACACATATTCGTGGTTCAGCTGGCCGTACAAAGGAGTTCAAAGACCTTGCTGGGAGGATAATTCCACTTGATAATCGTACAAGATGGAATAGCTGGTATCATATACTTTCTGTGGCACTTTAATTTGATGCTGCTCTTGATAGCTATACAAAAAAGCATTTTGA